CCAAAAAAAAGCAATAGAACATAGTAGTGTAAAACAGTATCAATTAGTTTGATAACAATACGAATCAATTTCGACTCTTCCAATGCATCAATTTCCTTTACATCAATTCTTGAACTTGTTACGTTACAAACAACGCAAAAGAAAACTTAAATTTAGCAAATGTAAACAAATGAGATGTGATAGTCAAATGAAACCTTTGAAAATTAATCTTTAACAAATTTTTTTTAACGCCACTTGTGAACCAAACAAATCATAATTGATACACAGGAGTAATCTATCAATTTATATTATTTTTTAGTTCTATAACACGTATTATAGTTTGAACCTTGCAGAAACGTCTATAGATATATATGAAGAGGTTTTAAAAGTAATGTTCTTGAAATAATATACTTTTTTTCTAATTTACTCGCATTACCCAGTAAATTTTCGAACAAATTGAAATCCAAAGAAACCATGTGAAAGTTGATAACATTTCACATATTTTGAAATAAAAATCGATTTAAGAGAATTCCATGGCATTTATTCGACAAATAGATGAAAGTTGTTTTTAAAATAATAGCTTTACAATGTATATTTAACCACGATGCCTTAGAACTACGGAAGTGTTTTTCGGGGAAATAAAAAATACGTATGTCATGAAATTTTATATGAAGAATATATATATATATATATATATATAACAGCATCCCAGAAAATAGAAAATGTGAATTTTTGGTTGATTACTTGTGGAATGATTTGTGAAACCACGTATATTACTTTGAAAAATGAATTATACGTTATAATACACATTAAAAATAAAACGAATGAATTATTTGTCAACTTGATCATTTTATACTATACTATGGACATCAGACGCACTTCGTGCGCTTTCACCTTCTTTTTCATTTCTTGTCATATTGATTAACATACTTAACGCAATAAATCCCTTTTTTTAAAGGTGGATTTTTCAATTTTTGTTACAAAACACATATCACAGTGGAAAACGTGTATTAGTAAAACAGTTCCGCGTATTCTAAATTCATGTTCTAAATCGTCGTATTCTAAATTATCACATCGAAAACTGATATAAACAATCTCTTTAGTTCTTTTCAACTAACCAATTAGAACACGAATAAAATGCTTCATTATGGCATCCATCACCTGTTTATAAGGGGAATGTATATGTAAGTTTATTCAAGTATTTTATAAGTTCTCCCTATTTTATATGTTTTTATTTCAAATGTAAATACTACAAATACAAATAATGCAAATAAGTAAATGAGTACACCAATCATTCTTATGAATAGATACACAATGTAGATTTCGTATTTTACGCTTTTAAATATCCGCATCTTCGTTTCTTATGTGCTCGAAATTAAATCTTTTTCTTGCAGGAATCTTTTTAGTCTGTCTATCATACCGCTCATTGCTTTTTCATTATGCCCTAATAATACTAAGTAATTCGCTATTTTTGTATAATAATCTATACAATATATATGAAAAGGCTATATGGAAAAAAACATGTTTGAGATTTATCTAATAATCAAACTTATGAATTGTACGCTACACTCATGCTGAATTTATTTAATTATAATTTTCGTGAACATTTATTATAAGAATTGATTGACATGCAAAACAGTTTATCGTGATTATTAAATTTTTACAAAATTGCGTACAAAGCTACATTGGCAAAGATAGTATCAGTCATGAAATTGAAAAATTTCACATGGCTACTGCCACTGAAAATGAAATACTAACACTGAAAATAAAATGATAAAAAAGTCAACAAGCCCGCACGATGTAATCGTCAGAGGAAACGAAAAAACAAATCAGCTTAAAAAATCTTTGCTGGCTATATGTTTTTGCTAATGGTAATTTGATTTTATTCCGTGAGAATGTATTGATAAAAGCTGTAAATGAAAGAAAAGGCTGGCGAGAGAGAGAGAGCTGGGTCGCCGGTAGAATCGGCGACAGTGCCGAGATAGATCGTTTGCGGCGCGTGGAAGTGCATTGTAGCGGCGTCGAGTCGAGTCTGAGTGGCGAGCAGGTGGATTAGCAATTTTAATAAGCGCGCGACGCCGCGAGCACTCGTTGCCCGCAGGCCCGTAAGGCGCGCCAGGAGGACGGGATTAAGGGGTGGACGCGCGGGCCGCGGCGAGCCCGAGCACGCGAAAACCAAAAGATTACGCGGCGCGCATCGCTGCGCGTGCTCCGCGCGTAGCTGCGGCTTCCGCGTGAACCTTGCCGCGGGCCGCGGGCGTCCCCCCTGCATTAAGCTGTATTTCGTCTGTCTCGCGCGCGCAATAATAATTATCGCGAGTCTCGGGCTCGCTCCTGGCACTAACCCGTCAAGCCGGCCGCGCGGCCGAGCGATTTCAGCCGATTTATCGCGCGTCTCAATGCCGCCTTGGTCTCGTCGAGTAGCATCTTCTGTTCACTTGGCGCGGATAAGCTGGAGAGCCGCGGCGGCCGCCGCTCGGCGCTCGCCCGCGTTATATCGGCTCGCTATCGCGATAAGCCGCGATGCTCATTTTTGTGCAGCCTCGCGATAGAGCCGTCGACGGCGACAGCGGCGGCCTTGACACGATGACGTAGCTGGGCGAAATATTCGCGAAAAGTCGACCGATAAAGCTGCCGAGGCAGACAGGTCGAACGAGCGAGCGGGGCCAACTTTGACCTGAAAAAAATTGGCGAAAAAACGAAAGTCAGCGTGTAGTCTCGAATACTTGCAGGATTCGCTCGCGATCGCGCACTCGTCGCGGGCTCAATTCCCGCGTACAGCGAAACTCGTACCCCTAGACCACTGGCTGACTGATGAGCCTCGATCAAGTTTAGCCTGATAGTTCGCGCGGCGCGCTCGCTTTGTTGTCGCGGATTACCGATCGTCGGTCATCCATGCGTTTTCTGCTCCCTTCTCGGCATTATTCGTGTATTTTCTCGTATTTCCTCGTGGAAGCCGGGCGTTTGTCTATGCGCACGTCGATCGCCGTCTCTTTTTCAATGGGTTTGACGATCACAAAAATGACGTTTATCACTACGGTACTTTCTCTTTAGGTTTGTAATTGAAAATAGAGGATATCAGTTTTGAAAATGAACCGTCGAGCTCTATGAACTTTACACCGCGATGTGAAAGGCTTACCGGATGTCGATAAGCTGCCGGTGCTTGCTATCAATCAATAAAATAAACTAGAAACGTCAGTTGACTATCGACGACAAATAAATTGTTTGGAAAACTCGCAAGTACGCAAGTTACAAGTGGCACTTGACGATGCAAAATGAGAATAGCGCGAGCTTAGATTTCTCAAAGGGACTTTGTTCGACAAAATTTTCCAGGAGAACCTTAATTTTCGTGGATCGTAAAACTGAAACTGATCTGATTAGAAGGTTTGAGAGCGCGAGAAGGGTTCTTTTAATCCCGCAGGTAAATAGGGGAGAGTAGAGCTGCGCACAGCAAGTGGCCTATTTAATTATCTCGCGTAAATTGCAGCTGTTGCGGTTGCCGGGAAGGTGGGGAGGGGCTCTATCATTAAAAAGTTCCTTGTATTTTCTGGCCAAATTACAGCCTCCATTGTATTCCCGAAGGATTAACTAGAATTCTAAGATCCAACTTTTCAAGTGTGTTATCAGCGGCACTGAATAAAAAATGCAATTAAGCGTAGCGTCGACAACCGCGCTGTGCATTTATCACACCGACCGAGTTTCTTACACGATATGTCACGCTGCGATGAGGGCGCTCAAAGGGGGAGAGCAATATTTGCGCCAATGACATTTTCAACTTACTGCTTTTCCAATGCCCTTCGAATGTTTATGCTTGCGTTGATTAATGTCCGATCCGCGAATCGCGAAACGGCGATCGTAAAACGTGGCGTCCGATGGTGACCATTTGTCATCGAATGCTCGCAGCCGGAAATAGACAGCGGGGATTGAAAGCAGAAGAACGGAGCGACCATTGGAACTTAACAAAAAGCAAACAATGAGAATGGCGCGCGGACGAGCGAGCAAAACAATTGTTAACTTTAGGCTCTTTTGCAATCGATGTGCCTTATCGTTGATTATAACAATTGATGCCTCTCCTTTTCCGCTGCTCGCGCTTTCTCTAGCTATTCGTCCCTTTTGATTGACTAATAGAAACACGAGCATCGATTTGCGACAGCCCCGACAATGAAACATCCGTAGGCATTTGCCGCGAGCGAGCGAGCGTTAATTGTTTGGTCAGTTTCGAATGAGCGGCTTTGCGTCGATTCATTAATTTCCAGGCATCTCTGTCGCATTTGTACGTACATTCACAGCCCCCTGCCGTTCAATTGCAAACTGTAATTACCCAACTTTCTTTCCTATGCTACCTATAATTTCCGCGATATTCGTCGATGCATTATCGCTTTCGATATTCAATATTTATGTCAATAGGATACAATCAATTGAGCCTAAGTTTAAATCAACAAAATGTTTGACATCTGTCAAACTCGTCGTGGTTAGCAGATAAGCACCGATAGACGTTAGCTTTATCTCTTGCTCATATCTTATCATTCGTCAAAATGAATAGACCTAATTGAACAACCCGTTGGCTGGCTGGTATTTTAAAGGAGAAGAATAATGACACTGAAAACAATGTTTCACCACGTAAGTATTTTTCTAGCGAAGCCTGTGCAGTAAACAGCACATTTTAAAAAGCACGCGGGTTCATATATACGTCATATGAATTACGCGATTTCTCGACAATCAGACCGCACGTATATCGAAAATCTATTTGAAACGGCCGTGCAAAAAGTGCGCAAAGATCCATAAATCTGTCAAACTGATGGGGGAACGTATTGACGAGCGTGATCGGCGAAAAGAAAAAAAAGTTCCGCGGGCAGGGGGCGCAGGAGGGAGGAACGGGTGAGCGCGTCGTAACGGCGTTGACGGTTGAATCGAAGCGACGCGGCGCGCGCGTCAGTAGCAAACGATCAGCCGGTGATTCGGGCGCAATCCCGAAGAAATATATCGCCGCGCGCCGATCTGCGTGTAAATGCGCACGCGTCGGCGAGGCGAGACTCGAAGCAATTTCCAGGGCAGCGGACGCCCGTGTACAAATGTATGTGTGCGTCGCCGTGCGCCGCGGGGTCATCGCAGTTATCGCGCGCGCGCGCGCGACCAACTCTCCCGTTGAACGTAAATACGTCATGCGCAGATACAGGCCCGGCTAACTCTGGAGCATCGGCCGACGTTTGTTGTACACATATACGCTTTCTCGAAATTCCCGCTCGCGCGCGCGCGCGCGGCGTCCGGCGTCGGAGCCAAGCCGAGGTGTGTACGTAGCGTTAGTGCCGCGATGAAACCGACCAGATAAGCGGACGGGAACGATGCTGCTGTTGCTGCTCCGCGGCCTCCGGAGTGAGAAGATGGACGCGCGGAGATTACGTTTATCGCTCTGCGCAAAAGTCCGCGGCTAAGTGAGCTCGAGGCTCGGCGAAACGGAAAACAGCGACCAAGCGTCGGACGTTCCCGGGGCCAGCTGCTCGAGTTTGCCGTAAGTAATCGACGAGCTCGCGTCCAAGACGAAGTAGCGTTCGCGCATCTGCGCGTCTTCGCATAAATGTGCTTTACGTAAGCGCGTTGCGCCTCCCGCGTGCGCCTCCCGCGTGCGCCGCGCCAGTGAGAGCGCGCGCACACGACGCGCGAGCGACGACCGCAGAGTGTCGTAAGGAGACGTTTAACGTTTGTTAACGTCGCTCGTCTGCTGCCTCTCGGCCCCCTCCATCCATATAAGCGGTTACCTGATACTTCTTTGCCACGCACGCGCTGCTCTCGGATAATCATTATACCGCCGCTGCCGCGTGCCTAGTCCTCACTTTTACCCCCGGAAGCCGTCTCTCGTTTTAACGGCTTGCCTCCGGAGCTGTACGACACACGCAGCGCTTTATCACCAGACTGCCGCGGCTATCTTTTCGCAACCTGCAGATCCGTGCGGTTAGCCCGGATGTTTATCTGTCCTTTTTGCGCATTGTCATTTTCTTTTTTCCAAACATTTCATTTCCTGAATGCTTCCCGGCACTACATCACCTATTGCTGGGAAATTGTCAGTCTACACTCCCGAAAGGTGATTTTCGACGTAAAAAGTTCCGAGGAAACTCCACTTTTATTTGTGGAATTGAAAGTTTTTATACCCGCATTGCTCGCGTTTTTCTTCTGAATTCCCTTTTATACAACAGCAAAATCCCACGAGTATATATTAAAATATGAAATCACTTTAAACTAAATTATTATTAAAATAAATCAATCAGTTACGTGAATTTAAAAATCTCCGTGATATAATCTATTCGACTTTATGTACATTTTAATATCAACATCTATATCGAAAATTAAAAACCGTTGGTAAACCGCAAAATTTTTTTACCGTTGGTAAACACAAATTTTCATGAGTCTTCAACATTGAATTTATTAACAATCTGAAGTTAAAAATTTTAAAATAAAAGAAACGCAACAGTCGCAAATTGTGCTTTTATCGGTATCGTCAAGTCAAAAGCTCAGCGCAATGAATGAAAAGCGCTCACGTCGTGACCGCAAATCGGGAGACACGAATATTAAATTAGCATCTCTATGACAAGACGAGTAGGTGCCAACGGTTCGTAGCGGCAGTCGCGTTGTAGTAGCTCGAGTGCAGCGACACTGCTCGCGCCAGTGCGGCCAACAAAACAGAGTATCTCTACCGCACAAATCATTAAGAAAAAAGAAAAAAAATTAAAGAAGAACGCCATGGACGGCGGTAGCGTAATAATCCTGTTATCGGGCGTTCTGCGGCGAAAAATTGCCGATGTCACAATAAGTTAAGAGTGCCTTTCGACGATCGTTCGAGCATGTGCTTCATACTGTATTCAAAAATATGGCCAGGACGCAAGAATTTTTCAAACGACTAAAAGTCCTAATACAGTTTTCCGGATTTCGTTTCCACGTCTGAGCCGTGAGTATATATATGAAATTTCAATCACGAACATTCTACGATTTTCTAAGCTGCTTTTATGCTTTCCGAATCAACTCTGAGAGCTCGTTTAGTTCGTATTCATGTTTTCGAATACAGAACATACAAATTCTCCTCTGCGTTTCGTAATCCGTTCCCACAGATTTCGCAATATGTTTGTCATACCAATGAATTTCATTATGGACCAGATTGATAATATCGTAGTAACAAAGCCAAAAACTAACATCGAGGCTGCCAACAGGTCACCGATAGATTTTTAATCGGGAAAAAATTGAATTAACATACGGCTACGATTTTTGTTTGATAAGCGGATTGAGCACATTTCGAAAACAAATGTTGAATAGGATTTTATATCTGTAATGATAATAAAATCTTTCTAAAGACTCTTCTAAGTCAATGTCAAAGTCATAACTTAATTAATATGCGAAGGATATAATACGGATATAGGTCAATAAAGAAACAGTATAACCACAGGTTGCCTACTCGTCGCCAATGCTAAAACTTGATTCTCGTTTGATTTATTGACTAATGCTTCAACGTACATACAGTTATTGAAAAGTCGACGTTTAAATATAAATACGCACTCACGTTTAATCTACAAAACGAATCAGTTTTGTACGCACTTTCGAAAAAATGTCCAAGGACCAGAGTTGCAAAATAAAATTGGATCAATGCAACTAATTCAGCTTGAAAAATCTTAACAAATTAATGTTTTGCAAAATCTTGGCGACTTTAAAGGAATCGAAAAAACTTTTTTTTACAAATCTACTGACGCTCGACTTTAATAACAAAAATGAATGCAGAGAGAGAGAGAGAGAGAGAGAGAGAGAGAGAGAGAGAGAGAGAGAGAGAGAGAGGGAGAAAGAGAGAAAACCGATCGACCGAAAACGAAACGAAAACGCAAAAGAAGCTTTTCCACGAATTCACATACATCAATCAAACCTTTGCCGAATTGAACAATGAAAATCACAAGTGCTCAATAATTCTAATTGAGAGCTGTCATCGGCGGGGCATTATGTGCTCTGAAAAGAGAGAAAGTTAGAAATGAACCAAAACGAGAGTGCGCGAAAAAAAAATACATCGTCGGAAGCCGAGCAAGTGAACGCGGGAAGCGGGTCGAGTACGTTATACACAGAGAGAAAGAGAGAGAGAGAGAAAGAGAGAGAGAGAGCTGCAAAGTTTATATACTACACGTAGGCTACCGATTAGTATCACTGCGGCTTGAGTTCTGCTTTGATTACCTTATTGCCCTGTCGTGACTCTCCCTATATTCAAGCTACGTCGTTTGTAAATTAGCCTCTTACATGTGCTCGATATCACTACGATCTCGGTAATTGTTGACTGCGCCTCGTTTGTACATTTTTTTGTCAATAGCATAGTTAGCGAACAATATTTCTGACGGATTTGTTCGAGTGACTGGCATACTGATCGCTGACGTGTAATAGTGATCATTTCCCTGTACATTCCAATGAGTTAGCCGCAGAAGCTCCCCCAGGTAGTTAGTAAAATTATCGTATCGTTACATGAAATCAGTTACAACAAACTCACGCGTACATCCGTACAGTTAAATATCGAATGTCGCTCGTTAAAAGCCTCATTGACAAGCATCGCTAAATCGAAATAGCAAGTAAGCGAAGAGAATAATCCTTCCGTTTGAGAAAAAAAAGAACAACAAATTATGTAATAATTAATAACGCAAATATTCATAAATCTTGAGAAACTTCGTACATTGAAGCGTGCTAAGACAGAAGACTCGTCTTGCCAGTCTGGACCCACTATCTATACGTAACGAATGAGAACGCACCGCCGATAGCGTATTATCGTGAGAATATACATCCTCTTTTTTTCCAATCTTTGCTCCAAATGTTACGTTCCACGTTGCACTGAAATTTACTTCTCACGTTGCTCTCTGCTACGTGACCAAATATAGGCTGCTAAATCCCACGCAAACAATACTACCTTTCGTTACTTTGTGTCCACATCAGTGTGAATACGGCGATCGCAAACTCACGAATAGAAAAATTTCACTCCGCGGGAATGAAAATATGATAGAGCTTCTAACAAAAAGCGAGTTTAGAGCTTACATATCGCAGTGAACGCGTGCCGAGACTTGTTGTTTTACGTAAGAGATGCTTGGACGGAATCGATGAATTTGCATAGTTATTATTCACTTTCATCAGGCGACAAATTGCATTTTCAGTGGTGTCGACCAAGTGCGAGTTAAAAACTCGACGGTATGTTTTCCCTCCGGGACTCCTCCAGCGCCAACTCATCGGGAATAGACGAGGACTCTTTTGGCTGGTGGATTGGCGCTGAATCACAAGTGAGTTTTTTTTCTCTCTGTCTTCTTTTTGCCGAAGCATAATAAAACTCTCGCTGACTCCCCCTCATAAAAATTCAATGATTATGTATACCTGGGCGAACAAAAAAAAGTTCTTTTCATTCAACAGTTCGTGTCTTTTCATACTTTGGCGTAATCAAAATGCTGGATAAAACGTAAAGGATATTGTTGGAGCATTATATATTGATAGATTATAGAACCGTTGCGAAGATATATTAAAAAGATACTCTAATTTTCCGTCTTGAAGATTTGACAAATGAACAAGTTTATCGTTGTGGAGAAATATATTCGTCAATGATAATAATAATATCAACTTTATGAACTACAAATTATAAAATTGTATAATTAATGTCTCATTACACAAGATGATAAATTAATATGTCTGCTGCTCAGTGCGAAAGAAGCGAAGCAACGACGAAGGATGTGGAACGTCCACGAGCAGACTCGTTCGTCAACTCAGATGCCGACGAGATCTGCACATGCTCGGATGACTATCTGCTCACCTGGCAGAATGACGAGGAGCAGCTCGTAGCCGCCGCTGCTGCTGCTGCCGAAAGCGACGAAGCTGAACACATTGAACTTTGTTCTTTTGACGGTGTCGGGCGATCGCCTCGACTTCTCACGGATTGGCAAAGGCAAGCCGTGTGTTACACTCCGGAGCGCCTTGTCCGCGATGACAATTATAAAATACTCACGCCATCTGCGCGATGCTTTCAACCTTGTTACGTGAACTTTCGTGGCGAAGAGGTAGAGCTCGAGCAGAGGAATCGTGATAAGGACATCAGTGATGGAAAGATCGGTAAACGCAATTATATAATTACGAACGTTGATCTTTCAGTAAAGTAAACAAAATCTTTAAAAAGCAATACGTTTGGTATAGCTTGCAAAATTCATTTCTCTACCTTGCTCCAAAAACTTATAAAAACGTTACCAAATTAAAATATCAAAAAGATTATGGAAGCTTGTTTAGCCATATTCCATGAACCAGAAATACAACAAATTAACTTGAAGATGCAATAAATGAAAATTAAATTGAATAATACACGGAAATGGCAATAACCCTATTTTTTCAACACTAAAAAAGTGGCAAATCGTTATTTGTTCAGAATATATCAAGTTAAAAAAAGATTGTTTCGCCAAAGGCGAGCATATTATATTATCATATTATCTTTTTTTACGAATCGAGGTTTGAGTGCACGTGGCTTGACGAATACTTGTTACCACTAATTTTTGAAATGCAAATTTAATATTCGATATTTGATCAATAGTTGCGGAATAATTTTGAATATCGAACTTGAAAAGATTAAATTATATTTTAAATGAATTGTACGTTATGACACCGAAAGCTAACATAAATAATACTTCTGGATTAGCTTGTAACAAAAATGTTTTAATTTTACGTGGCTGTCTAAAATGTATCTGCATGACTTAACGAGAGAAACGACTTATCTGTAACAAATACAACACATTATATGTGTTATGATATAATCATCTCCATCGAAACAATTAACAGGTGCCGCTCAACTTGTCTTGCTACTTGAAAGTCTCCAACAAGGAAGCTTCTCATCCTCGCAATCGGGTAATAGATGTTGCCGTTGCGTGAGGTATGGAGACGGCCAAGTGCTGCTACACAATGAACGATGCTCGAGGGATGAGTCGGCAGCAGAAAAGTCGTCGTACATGATTCGTGTGCATACAAATGCAAAAATGCCGTTCAGCTCAGGTTGAATTACCGTTTTACTTGACTATAATGTTTTATAATCGTATTTTCGAGCGTAAGATAAAAATAGCATAATCATGCATTTAAAAAAGATACAGTTGACCTCGCAAATAAAGCATTTTGGCGAAACTTCGTCGGTGAAGTCGTTATAGAAGGTACTTGAAAATTTTTGCAGAGTACGGCTCGTACGACGAAGATCACATGCCTCCAGATAACAACTGTCATGGAAAAGAATCGTCGGAACTCTGCGAAGACAGCAGCGGCGTATCGTCGGTTGATACAATTACTGCGTTGCACACCGACGACTGGAGTTGCGCCAATGGAAAAACAGCCGACGTAGTCGACGATCTTTCGACGAGACTACAGCCTAGGAGACTCTCCGACGAGTGGGCGTATACGTCTTTCGAGTACGCTCTCGTTTCGCCTGACAGACCGGTAAATTCAACGATACACGTCCTGTACAGATTTCATCGAAGCTTGCATGAATAGATAACTGCATAACTCGTATTCAATTTTGTCAAACGCTATATGGATGCTTTCTCCGATGATAATTTTGTTAGATATATATTAAATTTTTCTTCTGGCCTGTCAATGCGGATCGAACCGTCTAGCCATAAACGCAATGGCATCGATGAACGAAGTTACAAATGTTGATCGTTTTTCAAATATTCGTATATCACTGAACGAACTTATCCCAAAGCCTCGAGCAATCGATCAAAGTCCAATATGGCATTCTTGATTTTGTAGGACAGCGAAATCTCAAGCGAAATGGTGGCGCTTCTAGCGGATCTCGACACCGAACGTGCGCAAGCTCTGCTTTCAATGACAGACGAGGATCGGTTTCAGGGTGCAACACACTCGGGTCATGACTGCTTTGCGCGTCTCGCTCTGGCGATTGAGCCCGACGGCCGACTAGTGTGGAGGCCACGCGCAAGCCAACCTCGAATCCCTCACAGTGATCCTGGGCCCGAACTTGAGCAATTGCGAGACAAAATTGACAGATTGCATGGCTCCAGCAGGCAGTTGCTCGAGGAAATGTCCTCGCTTCGAAAAGATTTTGCGGTTGGTATCGATTCAGTATCTCTACGATATACAAGTGTGTCTATAGCTTTCTTCACTTAGTAAGTGTGATAAAAGTCGTTTGCAAACTCTTTGACGCAACAGCAGTTTTTGAAAGAAACAATTGTATTATTCAAGCTCTTGAAATGAATGGCTATGGCTTATTGATTGAACAATTATGACTTTGACCAGAAATCGCAAAAATCAAATTATATATATTTCAATTCTTATTAATAGTTGATTGTGCAGTAGAGCAAATATTATTGTCCATAAAAGATAAAATACTCTGTAGTGTGTTAATTAAAAATCTTTTATTACATTTTCGGATACAAACCCAACTAAAATGATTTTTAGAATAACAATTTCCAACGAAATTAACATAATACAGTATTTCTTTAAACGAATTCTATAACATAGGTGCAGTTAAGCTTAACGCTGTAATATTGCTATTTAAAGAAATCAGTAGTCATGCGAATCGTTTAAACGATTTAAAAAATATTACATTTAATATAATTAATCTTTACCTTTGCAGAAAGATGAATGGAAAATAAATGGTTTGTCAGATGATGTAAGAAAACTTCGGAATGAAGTGTGTGAATTGAGGTACCTAGATGATCTCTTGAAGCTCTTAAGAGGTGAATTGGACAGGACCTCCAAGAGAAATTGGCCATTTGCTATTGGCAATCCAAAGTACGGCAGGGAAGAAATAAATCTTGTTGTCTAACTTCCAAAGTAAATCTCGCGCGTGATGTTTAAGAAAATAACCGCCTATTTGTTCGTTCATTTTTTGTATAAAATATAAATTATTTGTTTGTATATAGCCTATGCCGAGTAATCAATGCAACTTTGATACTTAAGTTATATAATTTAAAAATTGTTCAGCGTCAGTTTTAATAAAATATCCCGTTTCTACATAAATCTTTGAAACTATACTCAAGTCAATTGTTTGACGAAGCTAAATATTTATTTGAAACGCAGCCTTACGTATCTATAATACCAGAATAACTTTGACTGTAACATATTTGTTTGTTCCATTTTATACATAAATTCGCTGTACAAATATAAAATTCTTACATATTTAACTTATAAAGATGTACCGAGTTTATATACAACGCATGTATTTACATATATATCTAAAAAGTTGCCTACGAGAATCATCATCACTTGAAAATAAATTCCCGTGCACACTGAGCGTCCAACTTGATAAATCACAATTGAAAATGTATTCCCTCGATTTGAACGAGGAAGAAGGTACAAAGAATGAGAGTTATTTGTCGTTCACTATTTGAAATAAAGTTGAGATCATGTGAGCTCTGTCCGTGGTAAATGTCTAGCACTGGGGTAATGTTGCCTGGTGGGATCGTGCGGGTATCCCATATTTGCACGAAGGAATTCCGAGTGACGGAACACGTCGTGTGGAGTGGACAACGTTGGTAAGGTCGGTAGCGTCGGAAGTAAACAACTCAGCATACTGGCACTCTCGGACGAGTATACGCCATTGTTCGGCGGGACCATGGTTGGGGGCGGTGGTGGACAAGCCACCGCGGGTGTCGCGTGTGCAGGAGTGGTATTATGGCTGTGAGCAGGCCCAGGGTGGTGATGATGGTGATTGGCCACCCCAGCAGATCCCGTCAACATCAGGGAACCTAGCACCAAAAACACAAATTTTAGATCGATCAGCTCATTCGATTCGTAGTCGCGACTTTATTTATTATTTGTTTTAGTTTTACTGATAGTCAAAAAAAAATTTACCTGGCACATGAATACTGGACGAATTAGAACCGGGCCCCGTGCTTAAATTTAACGAAGACATTGACGAATAATCGGTAGCTTCGGATTTAGCACGTTGGAGATCTCGGTCCCTAAACACCAGTGAGGTTCTGGAGTAGTGTGAGGTTTTCGGCGTAAAACTTTTACCGGATTTATCTTTTTTAACTCTTATTCCTGATTTACCGGAGCCCGATCCAAAATGTAACAATTCCAAATGCCTTCTCAAATTTCTAGACTGTCGAATCGATGCGCCGCATAATGGACAAGTGGCAGGCTGATCCGACTGCGTTCTTGATTTCCAATCTCCTGTAATCAAAATATACGTGTTCTACCTGGAGAAGACCAATTTTTTCAAGTCGAGTTTTGAGAATAAAGTTAAATGAAAGAACGAACTCCCAGTTTTTATTGATAGCAAAAAACAATTTTATTCATAAATTTAAAATAATATTAAATGTGAACACTTTTATTTACAGTTACAAGTAATATACATTTTATAATTTGCACTTATGACGGTACTTGGATAAATGATTCATGTTCATATCAAAGCTTGAATGATTTCATAATAAATCGCACAAATGATAGAATAATATGTTAATAGTAATAATAATAAAACTTTTTGTTCTGCTTTTCATAAAACTTTGTGATTATTTATAGGAAACTAATTAATTCAGAAAAACAGTAGAAAAATCTTTAAACGTAACGTCATATGATTTACAAAAAACTCACTATACGTGTGGATGTTGCAATAAATAGAAATTGTAGTTGTCGTGTCTAATGGAAAATGGAAAGCAATAAATTCCGTTTGGCATTAACTGATGTCTCAAATTGTTTTGATATTGTTATTACAATCTAATTGTTATGTCTAAACAGGTTCTCTTACTAGCTAAACTGGAAGATATACTCAAGTCCAAGTCGCTTAGTATTAACTTCACCTTCTAAAAGATCAATGAAAATGTTCAAACTTATAATCTAATCTTACGTGAGTATTTAAGAGTCCTTCATACGATTGATTGATTATACAATCCCACCACAAATGTCTCACTTCGAAAACGACTGAGGAATTGTTGCCATTCCGAAGAAGCAGTCTCGTCTTTTTGCCACAAATACATGATATTCAAAGATATGAGCGTCAAATCATGAGAGAGAGAGAGAGAGAGAGAGAGAGAGTATCAAATATAAATACGTGTATACAATGTGGCATAAGTACTTAGCTTAAAAAATGAAACAAGATTATTTTTCTGTTTATCGTGTTCTTTTTGTTTGTTTTCTTAAACGAGCTTCGTTATTCTCAGTCTATCTATCTCGCATAGAAGAACCGCACGTGAAAATCTGTTTCCCATTCTCAAAGTCGCGCCACAGTATCGCACACTGAAAACTACTGAATGACCTTCGACTTGATTTTAAGCTTAGTTTTCTCCTTTTTTCATCTAGCTACAGTCGGCGAGGAAATGCTACTGTGCGGTGACACGACGTTAGAACCTTGCGGAGATGGAGAAGGTAGCGGACTTGGATTACACACGATTTGTTCACAACTACTTCCTCCACTTTCGGATCCACACACAACTGACTGACCTGGATAACCCGGTATGTCGATTTCTGGCTTCACTTCGACCGACATTGAATTCGATACCACTTGATGGTTTGGATTTGCGGTGAAACGGTACTTGCACGAGGATAACAAATGTCGACGCAAGTTTCGCGCTTGGCGTAACGTTGCACCACACAGCGGACAAGTGCCTGGACAGTCGGATGCTCCACGTATCTTGGCGGTTGACTGAGTCGACGTCGTCGACGTGGTATTCGACGGGGAGGTGGTTTGTGCCGGCACACTGCTGGTTCCCGAGGAGTAGGCAACATTTTGCATTGCCCCCGGGAACTGCGGTATATGCAGCGGCGAGTATGGTTGCATTGGCATCAGATTGTGCAGATGTGGCTGCTCACTATCTTGCTCCGAGATCAAGCCACCTGGATTGTGCTCATGTACTGGGTGTACCAGCTGATGTTGCGGCAGCGGCGAGGAAATGTGGTGATTCGACCGTTCCTTGGCTGTTAACAGACACAAACACAACATTACCATGCTGAGGGCTGAACTGACCTTTCGTTAAGGGATTAGTCACCGCCAAATTTCATATTTTTTCTATCTGTTCAATTAGTGCGCAGTTCAACCCATTCGATGGTTGTGCTTGTGTCCGTACTTACTAATACAAAAACTCCATTGTGCGAAAAAAAACCTTTATGCACTTTCGTTAAATTATAAAAAAATTACTGTCTTAAGAATCAAAAGGATTGCGGACACAAAACACAAGTTTCAATGGATAGCCTCAATGTGCCGAATTTTATGTGTAAAGATTTAAAATAGTTCTCACCATCATCATCATCTCCATCCTTATGGCCATAATCTGACCTATTGTCCTCAGAATCATGTGATCTACTTTCAATAGAGTAACCTGCACGCGGCCATTTTCCACCTCCACCAGAGAGCTTCCTCTTCTTCTTTCTTTTACGTGGGGAAAGATATGAATTCATTGCCTCTCTGGCTGCATTAGCATCATTGCAGCCTGGTATCGCAGAAACTGGTATTTGCTCTCCCTTCTAAAGTAGAAAAAAGTATGCAATAGTAATTGTTTACAGAAAAACAAGCATAGAAAAATGGGTATACCAATATACCTCTGTCATAATGGTGGGTGGCGTTAGACCGTGAATGCTGAGGCAATGAGCTGCCTGCAGCAACGAAGGCAACTGTGAGGGCTCCACGCTTATTTCTCCTTTATAAACAAATTCTAAAATGGACTCTAATTCATTCGCACCAATGCCTGCTAGCATAACCACTGGATGCTGACATGGTGTACTCTGAAAATAGGCAATAAGGACATGCTGTAACAAACCCATTGGAGAGATACAGAGAGAAAGAGTGAGAGAGTGGAGCCAGTGATTGTATGAGGCAATGAAAGAGGTGAGAATGCTAATGAGGCTAATCCTATACCTTTAACAACTCAAGAAGAAAGGGACTTGCAGCAGAGAGAACGATTTTATGCGCGGAAAAAGTACGACCTTCGGCAGCGAGAGTAACGTCTACCAGATCACCGTGTCCTCGAAGCAGTTGTACGGCAGAAGCGAGCGATGAACCAAATTCGCCCCAGGATAAGCTGTACAGCTGACTAGCGCTACCCATCTGAAAAAAAGAGTGTGCACATGAGAAGGGAGCGGCACCTGCATCGACAGCGGAAAAGAATCTTGATTTCTAGCTACCCAACAAACAGAACTTCTTCAGCGCGACGACGCGCAACGCTACTCTCTCACAGCAGCCCCGGGGCATTAACCTCAACGAGTTTGAATGAAGAACTCAGGAGAGAAAGAGCGAGAGAATGAGAGAGAGACAGAGAGAGAGACAGAGAGAGAGAGAGACAGAGAGAGAGAGAGACAGAGAGAGAGAGAGCGCGAGAGCGCGCGAGAGAGGAAAAACCGGCAAATGGAGGCCGACGAGAGAAGGGAGCGAGGGAAGGGGAGGGCAGAGCAACGAATACACGTCTCTCTCTTTCTCGCGTTGCAGTCTATAGCAGGAGATAAAGAGAGAGAAATTTTTTTCTCTCGAAAAAGAGCGCAGAGTGCCGTTACAGTGGACGCTCGGGCTCTCTCGCTTGGCGAATCCCTCGGACGCACATACCTACATGGACACATACTCACACTCGAGCAGTCGGGCAGATAGACAGACAAACCCACACACAGGCATATATTCGTATTCGTTATATTATAAAGACCCCTATAGCAATGCATACAGTAGAAGAGCGAGAGCGAGAGAGAGAGCGAGAGAGCGAGAGAGAGAGTGAGTGAGAGAGCGGCGGCAGCGACGTTTGTCGCCCCGCGCTCTCCCGCCTCCTCTTTGCTACTAATTAATGCCCCCTTCTCCCGTAGCCACCCAGCAATACCTACACGTACGCGCCAAGAAAATCGTTCTCTCTGCAGCTTTCGGATGACGGGAATGCGGATGGGTTGCCGGCGAGTTGAACACCCACATTTTCTTTTCAACCAACAAGTCAAGTCGAATCAAAGTCGAACTGGAGCTGCTCGGCCCAACGTATAATATGTTTCAACTTCGCAGCTAACCTATCTTACACACAAAAGCACAGGACGTAGAGCGAATGAGCAAGCCAGCACTTGAATGTCGAAGCGCGCACTGTACACATATCGATGCACTAACAAACAACAAAAACAAACAATACGAACTGATCGAGGTAACGAGCTGGCGGCGCAGCGACGGGGATGCGTCGCCCGCCGGATTCACGTACGCGTTTGTGTCTGTGTTGGTAAGTATGTGATGCGCACGGCTGTGTGTTGTATAAGAATGAAGTGTGGAAGCTCACGCGTGTGTGCGTGCGTTGTCGCTGGTAGTGGAGGAACGACTTTGAGACTGCGGCGGTGGCGTTGGCGGCCGCTTGCGTCCGCGATCGAAGTGCCTCGTCGGCACTACGCGCGCGACGCACATACAGACACACAATACATACTCGCATACACTTGCGTATCAACCACACACATACACGCACACAACCACGCAGTATATACAACGGACTTACCTTGCATATATGCGCTCTCTCGTTCGCTCTCTTTCTCTCGGTGAAAGTCTCTCTCGAAGTAGGCTAAATCGCTCTCTCGGGCTCCGGCTATTCAGGCCAGGTTAAGGAGAGACATCGCTCGTTGGAGCTGTGCCCGCGCAATGCCTTCCTCTCTCTGAGAGACTCTCTCGTTCTCTCTCCCATTCTCTCTTTCTCTCTCTCTCTCTCTCTCTCTCTCTCTCTCTCTCTCTCTCTGACTCTCTCATTCTCATTCTCTCTCTCTTTCTCTCTCTCTCTCTCTCTCTCTCTCTCTCCTTCCTGTTAATCCCTCTCTCCTCTCCTCTCTCGTTCGTTCGCTTTATCATGCTGCCTGCTCTCTCGCTCTCTACCCGAACGAGGGGGAGAGAAAGAGAGAGAGAGAGAGAGAGAGAGAGAGAGAGAGAGAGAGAGAGAGAGAGAGAGAGAGAGAGAGAGAGAGAGAGAGAGAGAGAGAGAGAGAGAGAGAGAGAGAGAGAGAGAGCACAAGCGAGAGTCAGAGAGCCAGAGAGAGGAGAGAGAACTCGGGGGGGAATTCGGTGTTTTTTGCACCGCTAGTAAAGGGGGCGAGAAGGAGGGAAGGAACGCGAGAGCTGTTTTGCGCGCGCGCGCACACTTGGAACGCGATACCAGATATATACCAACTCTCTCTCTCTTTCTCTCTCTTTCTCTTTCTCACTCTCTTGTGAATATGCACCGGAGACGCATTGCTGCCGAACACACTCGATGCGTAACGGGAGAAAAAACGGGATCAGCTTGAGCTTGGGATAGACAGAAGAAAGATCCACTCACTCACTACGATGACGAACCAATCTTACACGCACTTGAGGATTTTTGGTACTTACACATGTAATGCACGCTGGTCTGGTCGTCGACGCCGAGACTGACGAGCAGCTTGGGCCCCGTGCGGAGTTGCTGCTTCTCGCTTCCTCACCCCCTTCTTCTCGCCGAGCCAGCGCCAGCCAACTCTCCCCCGCTACAATAGTGCTGCCAGCTACCGGCAGCCAGTTCTCTCTCTCTCTCTCTCTCTCACTCGTCTTCTCGCGCTCTCTGTCCTACATTTGAGTTTGCCAATTTTTCGCTAAATTCCGTGCTATACATCTTTATGCAGCTAGTTCATTCGGTTGAATAATTACCCTTAGTCGATGCACAAACTTCATAAGACAGCGGTTTAAAACGCTAAAACGCGCGATACTCGATGAGAAATAATAATCTTTGTACGCAACAGCACAGGTTGGTTTTTCATTTATAATCTGGATTATTCTTTTCTCTATAAAGTTACAACTTGTCACTTAAATTTCAAAATATATTTTAAAGGATAAGCGATGTCTTTAACTATTTAAATTAAAATCTAGTTCATTAAATTATTAACAATTTACTGTTTTACTTTTACTACTACCCTCTGGCTTTATTAATACATGTATTGAATAATTTAAAACGAAAAAGTTACAAAATTAACATTGTTTTCATGATTATTGCATATTACAAAATATGAAGTTGAAAAACTCTGAGACACGCGTATACAATCCTGGGTTTTCAGGTACAGCGCACCGAAATCCGGTAGAAACAACACCGATTAAATAGTAGCTCATGTTATACGAAAACATTAGAGGTCCTCCACTATCACCCTATTGAAAAAGGTGACATTTAATAAGGATCGCGCAAGCCATAAAAAGTCATTGTGTTTATATTTTCATAATTTTTGTGTAAAGTTGATTTTACAATACCTGACAGGCATCTATACCACCTTCCTGATATCCAGCACACAACATTCTTTTATTAACAATTACTTTTTTATGACGATAAGCCTCATCACATTTAGAATTATCTTGCACTGGCACTCGAGATTCTCGAAGAACGTTACTATGCGGTCCGCCTAAAAAGTTCAAAATGTTTTTATGAAAAACACTTGATAAATATTATATTCATATTTTCAAGCAAATAGATATATAAAAATCGACCTAGACTGAAGAAAACAAATGTATTCGATATTTATTCGATCGCTAATAAGTGAAAGATACATTCCAATATAGTTTTTAATTTTGTTAAAAGTCGAATTATTTATAATCAGGTTACTCACGCATCGAATTATGAAATTTCAGGAAATGTCAGTAATTACCGTAGTATGTAGCTCCCCATCCTGCAATAAAAGGATGAGTTCCCGTGAAATTACGATTTTTTATATCATCGGCTAGTGGTAGACATATCGGATGTATGGAATCTGTAAAATAATTCCATTAATGGATATATTGAATATAGGTCTAATGAAAATTAAGAAAGTATTAAATAATAATTAGTTTAAACCCGTAAATTCAACATCTTTTTCGAGCGTTAACACGGCAATATCGTTTTGTTTGCTGATATCGTTATATTTTGGATGAGGCACAGCCGTCTTAACTGAAACTTCAATAGACTTGACTCCGTCCAGCTTATTTTCATAATTATGTTCACCTAACCGAATCGTGACATCAGACATATCCTTTTCTACGCAATGGGCTGCTGTTATCAAGTGTCTTTTAGATATTAAAGTCGCACCGCAAAAAATTATTTTTTTGGATTTACTATGACCAATAGCAGCAATCCATGGCCATGAATCTGAAAGTTCAAATTTAAAATAAAACACCCAAACGTATTCTCATTAATTACTCTCATTATTATTCTACTGTATCGCTCATTGCGCATTCTTCATTTTATTTCGTCTATAATATGTATTTGATAAAATTCAAGAATGAAAAAATAATAGTAACATTTTTATTAAAGTTATCGTGTTTTAGCAAGTTATGAAAGTTTAAAACAAATATCACCAAGTTTTGCACTCGATATAGAACTGATGATACAATAACTTTCAATCGAGTTTAATTTATTATATCTCGCTCACTATTTATTGTAGATCGCTCACTTGCACAATATTTATTATATCGCTCACTTGCACTGTACGTACATACTTTAGCTTCTGTTCCACCGACAACTCTATTATGTGCAGCTTTACTGTAGCCACATAAAGGAGGATAAAATGTTTTTGGTAAGAAAAAGCCGTCCGCATCACTTACTAAATGTACTTTTTTATTTTCTGAAAAGAAATCTTAATATTGCAAGCTTAATTCTATCGAACTTCATGAATTTATTTATTATAACAAGGAAATGCTCCCACCCCGACCTCATTGATTTCAATAAAATCTTTTGTTATAGTTCATGAAAAAATAAGGTATACGTGTTTTTTTTATCGGCGGAAAAACACTTTGACGAGGTGAAAACTGCCCTCGTTCATCTCCAAAAATGGATTTTCCAATGTATCACTTCTCATGTGAATACGAAACTAGCGCATGCAATTCCGACCTTAAGGGGGCAACCTTTATTTTTTTAATTTAAAGCTCTATCTTTTGAAGGGCAGTTTTCACCCCTTCCAAGTGTTTTTCTGCCGATAAAACAAAAAAAAACACGTATGCCTTATTTTTTTATGAACATATCAAAAGATTATTGAAATTGGTGAAATTGGGTTGGAAGATTTCCTTGTAAATATGAAAACTTGATTCTTTAAAAGACAACAAATTTAGGAAACTTAAATACTTTAAAAACCAACTGTAATAATTGGTTTCTCAGTAGATTGTTAATTGGAATAAATGCAAATCGTGGAATATAAAGCTCACTATTTGCACATGTGTTGTCACACTTGTAGGAATTGATAAGATATAATATAAAAAAAACTATTTCGCATAGGTTGTAATCTTTTCTCGTCATTTTCAAACGTGAAATTGACATGTAGAAATATATTTGCACATTCAATTAATATAGTTTGTAAACTGAAAGAATTTATGGAACTCTGAAAAATAAAGAAATTCTATTTCTTAATTCATATAAAATAAATGAATAAAGAAAACTTTATGAATGTTTTAAGTAGAAACAAACGCAGACTGAAAAACTCGAAGTAAATACTTCTTTTTATATTATCGTCAGTGAAAGCATATTCAGCTGGTATTCGTATACAACGCTATTTATTAATGCATAAGTATACTATGACTTGTAATATTACTCTATATATGATAATTGTGATACAATACTTCATTTAAATAAAAAATATCTTCAAGATACTTCATTATATTACTTTTTGATAGATAAAAAGTAATTATAAAATAAAGTAGTTCCTTTTTAAATATTTATTTTTGTTATTGTTATTATTACTTCAAGATTGTTATTATTACGTTTATTTAGTTAACAAAATACTTTTGTTAATAAATGTTCAAAGTTTGTAAACCTTAAAATAGTAGTTTTATTGATAAAACACTTATTCTAGCAAAAAATCAAAAGTTTTTTTCCTTTGATAGTATACAGTATTTTTATTATCAAAATTAAAAAAAAAGTCAAAACCATAATTCCAGGCAATAACAGGAGTAGATATAAGAAGAATCAGCAACCCATTGCACTTGAAAGTATGTACTGTTGCTTTTTTTCACACAGAATACGTCATAAATCCATACATCAAAAAATGTTTCCAATAAATGAATAGCTCAATTTTTATTCGTTATTAAGGATGTTCTTTCGGATGTAAGGGTTTTACAAATAACTCAACTTTTACGTGTAGAAAAAAACATTGAACGCGTTCTACTCGCTTGTAAGAGAATAATTATTGATAGATTGAAACGAAAAATTTAAGTATATTGCTCATAGTATTTTCCAAAGATGGATATTTATTTTTATTTATTTAGCAAAAATCAAAAGGTCAATAGTTGAGAAATGCGTAACTTTGATGGAAAAACTGTTGTGAATAGTTCAAAATAAAAGTTTTTCCAGTACTTCATTGTTTATAAAGATCCTAAATATTTATATATCAAATTTTAGATGTTAATATTCATATAAGAAAATATTATGAGCTATTTCAGGAAAGAGCGTAACAACGAACGCGCCATGGCTTTTTAACAAAATTTTAATCTAATTCTAAAATTTGATACATAAATTTCTACATCTTTAAAAACAACGTAGTACATACTGAAATAATATTCATTTTCGACAATTTGTAAGTTTTTCCATGGAAGTTACGCATTTCTCAACAAAAAGATTTTAATTTTTGCTGAATAAATATAAATATATGTCAATTTTTAGAAAATACTATGAGGCTATGGGGAATATATTTAAGTTTTTTCGTTTCAATCTATCAATAATATTGTTATCTTATTAGCGAGTAGAACGCGTACAGCGCTTTTTCCACGCATAAAATTGTTCGAAGGTCATTCTCAATTTTTTTAAAGTTTCAATGATATTTCCTTCAGATATTTTAGGCTTAAATTTAGCGTAGTCTATTAATTTCTTAAGTTTTTCAGTAAATCGTGCTTTATAAATAAACAATTATGTTTATTAGAATGTAAGATATTTCTTCAAATAAAAATTTATTTTTGATCCTGAGAAAACGGCTTCAAGGTATGATTTTTATCAATTAATAAAAGAAAAAGATTATTCATAAGACATATTTTAATGTACTTTAAAAATATATAAAATGTAAGATTATTGAAAGGTAAGCGTAACGTAAAATCTTTAAATAAATATTTTGCAGAAGACTACAATGTAATGGATATTTAGGTTTAAATTATAGAATGTTTGGCGGAATATGCAACTCAAAATCTATGAAAACAACATAAATAATTATGTTGTCTGATTGACTGTACAATAATTTACATGGATTATTGAAAATAATCGACGATATTGTTGATTTAATTCATATTTTCCAAAATGAAGTCCAAGAATTCCGTAACTCGGGTGTAGACACCTGGAGTTCCAGGTAAGCCGCATTCAATACTATAGGACACTATACCGATAGCATAGAAAGTGTGACCCTTTGGAAACATTAAAGCTCCGCCACTGTCACCCTGGTATACAGAGAAAGAGAATAAGATTGCTTGTTGTAAAACAACTATTGGACAAGGTATTGATTGTGACTTTTGAAACTTACTACGCAGGAATCTTTACCGCCAGTGGTATAACCAGCGCAAATAACTTTTTTGTCAATAATATATTCTGGGTGTGACGTGTATCTCTTAGCGCAAGTTTCTTGCGACACTACAGGCAGCTGAACTTGCATCAAAATATCACTTCCTTCATTTATATTTTTAACTATTGTAAAACAAATGAACTAATTAGAGATTTCTTCTACGAAAAGAACGCAAAAGCGAAATAGATCGGAAAAACGTAGCTCTGTACGTACTGAATATGAGCGCGCCCCAACCAGCAACGAACGGAAAGTTTCCAACGTAATTCCTATTTTTTACTTCAGACGGAAATGGTAGACAAATTGGATGAATGGCTCCTGAAAGAACGCAAAAGAAAAATGAAATGATGAAGTGGACAATAGCTACTGTCGAATTTGGAGGATAAGCGAAACGAAACATACTTACTTGTGAATGTGACTGGCCGACGCAGCTTGAGCACGGCAATGTCGTTGGCTTGGTTGACGGCGCTGTAACCAGGATGGATGACTGCCCTCCGAATGGGTATGTCGATGGGATTCGCACCATCGTCGACGCTATCGTCGAGATTGTGATCGCCGAGACGCGCGATATACAGGTTATTGCGATTAAAGACGCAGTGGGCAGCGGTGAGAACATGCTGCTTGGAGATTAAACTGCCTCCGCACCCAAAGTGGATTTTTTTCGGTCCGAATTTGATCCTGTAGCCCAGAGCGGTCATCCACGGCCATGCGTCTGTCGAACGTCATCTGTTTAGTATCTGTTCCGCGCTTGGAATTAAATGGTTTCTTTAAGATGTAAGCGCAAACTAACGCAATTCGGCTGGTGCACCACCGACCACGCGACTGAAGGCGTTGTCACTGAAGCCACACTCCGGAGCGTACAGTGGTCCGAAGCTGGAGTTGTGGCCTGGCGAAGTGGCGGGCAGCGGGGTCGTTGGCAGAGTTGGCGAGGGGGCATTCAGGGGGCAGCACACGATCACTTCACCGTCATTGAAATAACAGAGGGTGTTGCGCAGGAAGCGACTCGCCGCACGTCCTTCCTGTAGAAGGCTTTGCAAGTAAGGCTGACAGATTCTCACGTTGATGCACACCCCGGGCGCGTTGTTTTGTTCGCCAGCCTTGTTACATTCTTCACCTGCAGAACGAATTACTTTTAATTCGCCAAAATCAATTTTCGGGCATGACGTGCTGGTAACTTTCATTCGCGGAACTTTCCAGAAAAGAAAACATTCAACAGTTCTTTTCAATGAGCATGCACTTTTATTGATATCTTTAAAAACATGTTAACATTACATTTGGCGTGATATATAAGTATGACCGAATTATACAGGTAGGCAAAAGAATGCGTATGGGATGGGACAATGTCAATATACAAATAACTGAGTAACTATAAGGCGAGGTAAGCGACTGAATTAGCTGGCGATTACGAAAAATGAACGATGCCACGGCAACGTTTCTTCCTCTCTTCTATATCCGAAATCTTGTCGACGATCGCCTGCGCGAACCTGGAATGCGAACGAGAATCGATTTTAATTGCGAACTAGCCCGCGGAAAAATCATTGACTCGAGCTAGCCTCTCACTTGATGCAGACAACGGCCCAGATCTTGCGAAGGCCAACGAGGACCTCGACGACGCGATCGACGGTTTCCTGGTTTGGCTTGGCGAACGTAACCTCGTTCGCGGCGAGGCGCTGATCCACAGTGTACATCAGCAGCTCCTTGTGCACGTCGCGCTCAAGGCCGCAGAGCCGCCTGCGCCACTCGCGCAGCTTGTATTCCGATGCGTTGAGCATGCGCTCCACGCAGGGGAATGCCCAGTTTTTTCCACTCAGCAGATTCTCGCACATTTTCTGCCAGCTGTCCAGCTGCATTTTCAGCTCGAAGAGCTCCTGGCGCTCCTTTTCCGTGCCTTCGAACTTCAAGCTCCCACACTGCTTTGCGATCGCCATGATTTCATCGATACTCGAACTCTTTGCCATCTTTCTGTCTGTGTTTTATGCGCAAACCACGTCGATTTATTTGATTCGCTATGACAGTCTTTTGTTTTAATCTCAGATCTATGCACGTACTTCTGAAAAAATATATTATTTTACTTGGAAAGCATTACGACAGTTTGTCATTTGAAGTTAAACCAAGACGGCACGAGTGTTGTTACTCAAAGCTATAAGAAAAAATATGGGTCATGCTTTGTAATGCAGTACTCAATATTTTTCACAGCGCGTAATAAGCCTTGTTGCGTCACAGTCTTTAATTGTGCCTGTTTGTAGAGCGCGCAAAATAACTGTAAACTTTGCATCGGATAAAGGGTCTTTGCATACCCTACTCTATTGACTTTTGAATTTCCACGAACATTAAAAATTATTGAATACGATAATTAACTGCTTAACTCGCACTTGCCAACTATTCTAATAATGAAAATACTATCGAATCACTTCAATGGCTCCTAAATATATTTTATAATACATACCTGAAGAATTGAACTCGACTTAACAGCCCACTTTGAATATTCGTACCATTCGTTTGTTTTGAAAGTCCTGCAGTTCAAATCCGACTAGCAGTTGTACAAGCACTGCCTTGAATTCTAGCTGCTCTTCTATTTACCTATTTATTTTGATCCTGTCGTGTAGGTACTACGAACACACGCTCATTTCCGACACATAAGTTACATATATACAACCTTTCACGTTTCGTTCGCACTCACAATTGATAGTCCGTTATTAAGTTTAACTAGTGTCTAACGCGCTTCGCGCGCTAATCTCTCAATTTATTTATATTGAATTTCATGTATGAATCGATTCAAAACTATTATAAAATACTCCGCATTTATAAAATAGTTCGATACTTTGACATGCCCAACATTCGTCAACATTTATTCGCAAATAAAAATCCAATTACGTTTGTATTCACAGATTCCGTTATAACTCCGAACTTAATAACGTAGTAGATCTTTAGATGTTGGCTAATTAAACATAGATAATGGGCAAAGTATCAAATTCATTTTTTTTCGATTCTTTCTAAATATATATTATATATATAAATGTCAAATAATAATATATTATATTATAAATATCTTATATTATATTATATTATAATAATATAACATAATATAATTTTATATTATAACATATGCGCCTGACAGTTTAATTTTCTTTATTTTTAAACCTATTGGTTTATATCAAGCATTTCATAGGATGTCTCCATATTAGCAGATATATTATTTTAATTTAATTGTTTTTCAATTGTTCATTCGTGACTATTTGAGGAATTCGTTTACATTTATAAATTAAATTTTTTATTTTTTCAAAATAAATTAACGGTACCGAATGTACCGAAATCAATACACAGAATTTCATATAAAATATCGATTTATAATTCTCTTCATTATTGATATTTATCCGAAATTAACTTTACAAGATATTCAATAAATTTATATGTCCTGTAAATAAATGTAATTGGAGTGCATTAAGATTACTTTATTGTATTATTTTAAGGTGAGAGAATGTGGAAGTCATTGCCGTTTCAATGACTACAAATTATATTTCGTTAACTTGTTTGAAGATATTTTACTTTGCAACGCTGCAACTTGCAACAAGTTGCAGTATTACAATATAAAATATCTTCGAGCAAGTACTCATATAATTATGATTAAATTTCACTAGATAAGTTCATTTAATCATTAATTATTATATATTAATAGAATGTTGGTATTAATAGAATAGTAATCGATCTAAATAGCGCCTCAATGTATTATTTACTACCAATCGACTTATAACAGTGTCAACAAGCCGTCACTTTTTTATATAGGATTTAGTACATTACGATACAAGTGCGAGAAAGTAGATTCCGGTCTCGTGTGGCGTTTACGCCCGAGCGAAACGAGGGTGGAAATGTACACGAGACGAGAAATTCTTTCCCGAACATGTTCCGTACCGTATTTTTTGATACGGTGTGTGGAAAGTGCGATTTTCAACGCACATGTTCTACCGAGCGTGCGGGAAAGACGCACTTTCCACGCGTCGTATCAAAAATTACGGTAAGGCACATGTTCGGGAAAGAATTTCTCGTCTCGTGTACATTTCCACCCTCGTTTCGCTCGGGCATAAACGCCACACGAGACAAGAATCTACTTTCCCGCACTTGTATCGTAATGTACTATTCCAAATTAATTCGACATTTTGAGTAAAAGTCAAAGTGATAATATTAAAGCGTTATCAATGAAAATTATTAAAGTTCTGACAAAATTTTGATAACCATTTACAATTGATGCAATGGCATTGTTTCACTGACATTCTTTAAAATTCAATTTTTCCAAGCATTTATATTTCTTTGCAAACTTAACAGATTTCTGAATAATACTCATAGATATCGTTCGCCCGACTTCGAACGAACAACAACGTCTTTTTCTATATTACGTATAATAATGGGAATAATTCTTGTCTTTGAATGTTGAAAGATTGGACGAGTGAAAAAAGTCATTGGTTAATTAAATCTTTTGTAAAGACTGCAACTTCATAAGCATTAAGGTCAATACTCACAATTTTAATATTGAACAAAAGTTTAAGCGCGCACACACACACACACACACACACACACACACACACACACACACACACACACACACACACACACACACACACACACACACACACACACACACACACACACACACACACACACACACACACACACATCCACACACACATCCACACATACATCCACACATACACACACATTGATGAAAATAAGATTAGTAGACCCAATATAAGGCTACGTTTGAATTTGAATTTACGCGTGCATTATATTCTTAGCATCAGGTAATGTAAGTTCCATAATTCGAATAATCAAACACGGAATCCACTTGGCAGTAGCTATTTTGTACTCAAGTTGAGTCTCTTTACTTGGTATAGAGCGGTTGGATTTGCAGTGCCATATAGGTTCCACCTGCTTTACTACGATACAACGGATAAAGTTGAATAACACGTAACGTATATGAACACAATGCTCTCCTAGAGAAAGTCATTGAGCTTTAAAATGACAGAAGTAAGGCCTTAGACTCAGTCCGCGTATACAGCATTTGTATACTCGTCTGGACATTTAACTTTCGAAAATTCTGTAAACTAATTGTTTTAGGCGTGCGGAACGAGTCGTAATTGTCGACAGCTTGAAATCATCAAAGGAAAGTCCCAATGTTGATTGCAACATGGATTTGCAGCGTGTGTGCAAGTGAGCACGCGCGCCGATCTAGATGTCCTTCCTCGTGGCGTATCGTTGAACGCTCGTTTCGGGCCTCTCGACCTTGGCCGAATTTCGTCCAACTGCACGTAATACGTCGGTGCTCGCTCGGCTACAACTTTGCATAGGGCATGTACTTCGGCTCCCGCAAATCATTCACATCCTTTACTTCGCGACCGTTCCGCGAGTTTGGTCTTGCTGGCAAAGCAGAAGCTCGTCTCTTTTAACGACATGACCGATCGCAATCGATGAGCCAGTCGACGCGTAACCACTTCGATAGACATTCTTGGATTATAATTTAAGTCTACTGTTAAGTAGGATAAATTAAAATGTTGCATTTTACGTGCGAATTCGTTCAAATGATTTATCCGATGAATGAATATAATCCAAGGTTGCCTATGTATCTCATTCAGATTTTCACTTTTTATTATACTCGATGATGTATGGACGTAAACTTGTCTACTGTTATTTCAATTATTTATTATACTGACCTTCTGCCAAAACCTTGTGCTGGCTGAAAATTTGCAATGCGAGTAGAATGCCCAGTGGTAATTGAGCTGTGCAAAGTGCCAATCGCATGATGTTTTATACTGGATCGCCTGTTGGATACAAAAATAAGTGTCATACGTAGTGTTCATTTGGAAAAGATACGAGTCGGCTAATCCAAGTATTTCGTTGTAATCGATGCATAATAAAAACATAAAGAAAATGAATTGATTTTTTAGGTTTGTCCAATTCGGCATGGAACTGTATTAGTATAAGCTTCTTCGTTACAGTTAACAAAATGACTACCAACATAACATACAATCGGTCTAGGTATATTGAATTCTTGGGATTTTCAAATGATAATAAGAGACGAAATTTCATTGACGAAACTTCATTGAAAATGCATAGTTAGATTTGTTCCGCCAAGTGCATCTCACGAATCGTATCGATGCATTGACCAAAGACTATACATGCACGCAGTAAGCTGGTGATCTAATAGCAGAAATAAAGTCAAGTATGATACGTGCAAACGTCATCATTAAAACAGTTGTCCTCTCGTGATAAACAGGAGCTGTTAAGGACATTCTTTCGAAAATCATTTTTCTTTGGGTTTCCCTCAAGCTTTGAAAAGATGTTCCCTTTTTTATTACCCATATAACGGAAAAAATTTAGTACAGGCTTCGGTATTTAAAAAAACGATTATAATATAAAATAAAATAATTAAATATAATATAAAATATAAAAGAAACTAAAATATAAGAAAATAAGAGTATAAGGTAAACGAGATATTCTCATCTTCGAATTTCAATTTGTTGACATGTGTCAGATAGGCTAAATTAATTTTAACGGTAAATTTCGTTCGATTGTAAACTGAATTTTCTTTGTATTTTTTTAGAACTAATATAATATTATAAATCGACTAACATAATAAAAATGTTCCCGTCGTATTAATAGTATACACCTATATAGCAATGTAGTCTACACAGAAGCTTGTGACATACTGTTATTTTATAATTCTTTTACTACTTCTGTATAGTTAAATCACATGGGAGATTGCTAACGTCAGCAGTGTTATTAGCTGACAATTTTGAGAAAAATAAACTTTCTAAGTTGAATGTTCAAAGAGAATGTTCTTAACCGGTACGATCACCGCAAAGGATTTCGTTATACTGGGAATCCCCGAGCGCTTGTAACTCCACGCCGTAGCGCACTGAGGTGGTTCACGGTCGATCGCGCGCTATATGTGTAGTGTAGCTATCCACGGCGGCGGCGGTGACGATGCGCAACCTATCCTTGTTGACCGACGCGAATGAAATCGCGAGAACACGCGCGCGTATATTTTTAAATTGCATTCGCTAATACTGTACTTAGTGAGAAAAAAAATCCGTTCTCGTGTGCATTTTATTGGTTTTCTTTCCTGTTACCAAACCGTCATGTTGTAGACGAATGATTACATCAATGGCAATCTCCGCTGATTGCTTCCAATTAGTACGTCATTTTCATTACTACTTAAGCTCGGATTTATCATTTAATGGTATGACGATCGCGCTAGTACATCACCAGTTCATTTCGCAACGGACTGCGTCTTTAATTCTATTCTTTTTTCTTCTCCATACAAACGCTACTGTTTAGAATAACTTGTCCTATTGTAATCATAACATTACGTTTAGCAAATCTCAGCAGACCGTGAGTAATTGTCCAATGTGGAGTTTCGCGCTTATGAATGTTTCGCGCGTTACACAACGTGTTATTTGCTCTGGAATACGTCGTGATAATTGCTTGTGAAATTAAATTCTGAGCCTTGAAAATTTTGCTGCTTTTCATTGAAATGAATTGAGTTTTTCGAATGAAAATTTATTATTGAAGGTCAGATCTGTCGCTGTGTGTCCAAAAATTACGCGAACAGCAAATCTTGAATTTATGATAAAAGAAATCGAGCGAACGAATCTTTAACGTCGTCTATCTCGACTCATCCTATACTTATCTTCGAAGACATCAAGCAATGAAAAACACAATAATTGTCAGGTTCAATTTATTGGGCACCTTAACCGGTTTTATAGCAAAGCTTAGCATATACCTAGTCAAAAAATAAATTTCAAATTTCCCTGTACCTTTACGGATCTTTTTGAAAACAATCGTGATGACAAACATGGACTTGTTGAGTGGCTCATGAATATTTACTTTAGAAATTTGACCAGTCGTTTCCTTAACACGTGCACTGTGGGCACAAGATAAATTAGCATAGATAAATTCTAAAGAGGTTCCCGTAACAGATGTTTAAAATCATGAGGGATCTCAAAATCCACAAGACAAGCTGTATAAAAAGATCGATAGAATTGTATAACGTAGAGAGCTCGTACGTTTAGGCCGTAAACTCATGACGTATTTCCATCTTTAATGTCCGAAATGACTTTCTGAATAACAATGACAACACTAATCGCACTTGTCAGTAAAGAAACCTGGATTAAGACTTTTAAATATAATTGATCATGCATTAGAATAACTGTAATAAGTTATTTTAAGAAAACGGCTGATAAAATAAATTAACCAAACACGTTGTGTTTTTAAAATAAAGACGCTGACACATTGGTCAACTATTATTATTCCATGTGGTTGGATCGTTTTTACGTTTTCATTATTCGTCTGACATGTAGCTTCGTGAGTGCATTCTAAAATTCACACCTCTCCGCGGCCTATACGACGAATCACGCGGGAAATCCTTCAAACCCAATACTGACGTTTAAACTAGTCTGTCCACCCGCAAATGGAAATACTTACATACCTTTTCGAGAATTCGCGTTTCTCATGCTTCCTGAATTTACCGACCACTTCGAAATATGATACTTGATTCTCGTATGTACATTTCAAGTCAACATGACTTACGTACAATTGTCGTAATTTGCAAACTATGATTCAATATATCGCATGAAATTAGCATAAGCTGATACACTTATACACTTTATTGTATTGAAGTTCGTTTCATTTTAATATGTATTGCGATGGTTTTTAACACAGGAATTCTTGATTAGAAGGCAAAACTATTCAGATACTTCTTTTTCAAACTTTTGCAATTAAACGTTCCGTCTCACAAGCGTAAATACAAATAGTGTTTAAGCATTACAGGATCAAACCAATAATTTCTTATTGAACGTAATTTTTTCTGGAGCGGTAATAGATTTATATTACGTTTGAATGTAAATTATGTTCATTTCGAGCTAAAGTCGTCAGATCGATAAGTCGTTGTTTCTCAATCAAGTTTTTCAATCTGAAAGAAATAACTTACCAAAGATATCGATATTAATCAAATGCAATAATTTTTTGATTGCTAAATAGATTCGCTCTCAAGTAATGGTTCAATATACACAGCAAATAAATATTGTTAATGCATGCCTTGCTACTAAAGAAAAAATTTAAGATGTAATTTTGGAGATTGATAAACATGAGAACTATTTGTAGATGAATCCATTTATAAAACTTTCAAAAAAAGTCCAATTAGCATTGCAAGGGTGTTGTGTTTGACATAGCCACTGAATAATAATATATATATATATATATATATATATATATATATATATATATATATAAACCATATATAAACCCACTGAATACCTAATGAACTAGCAATATTTATTACTTTATCTGTAATCTTTGATCGAACACGATTAATTAGGGACAAGCTTTAGTTTTATCATTTCGTTCAAGTGCAATTAAAAGTTTCTAGTATTGGAATCGTTCGGCTGGACAGTACATAGAGCCAAAAAAAGTTTCAATGCTAATTTAAATAGTCGTGAGATAAGATATTTCTATAGTCGACGTGAACCAAAATTTACGTGCCGATCGAACTCTGAAAAATCGTGGTCTCGATGATGTAAACGTCAAGTGGCAACAGCGTCCATACAAACGCGTGGAGCAACCGCCAATATATCTGAAAAATGCACTGTTTTTCAGTCACACAATGATAATTGCAGCAATTGTCGAGTGGAAAATACTCGAAACCGCAATACAAATCGTTTCTCACTTGATCCGAGGATGTTGGAGCGACAAAGAAAAACAAGCAAAAATAGAAAGAAAGAATGAAAAAAAACGAGACGAAACTGAAACACTTACACCGAATCTATCTGATACACTTTGAGACCAAATGCGCGCACTCAAAACAGTTGTACGCCGAAAAAACGTGTATGCTCCTAGAGGAGGATCGATTTCCTCGTGACAAGCGGGAGTCGCGGCTTTAGACTGATGCCGATTCTCCCGGCCATTCTCTTTATAAACCGATTCTCTCGCCAGCAACACACTAACTTCAAAGGCGCTTTTTCCTCGCTGATACCGAGTGCTCGTGTCACTCGTTTTATTTCATTTGTTTTTCAGTACGTTGTTCTTGTCATTATTCATTTTATTGATTTATTTATTACGCGTTTATAAATCGATGACGAAGCGTGGGTACGTAGTAAAGTGCTGTTGCACATTTTAATGTATTTTTCAACGGTGTCTAATAGTTTTCAGTAGCCTGCTCAAAGTATCCGCTCGCGCGGGGGTCAACGTTTTCATGCATTTTTCGAGCCAAGTATAAAATTGCCGAACGTTTGATTGGATTTATACCTACGAAGATGTTAAAGTGTTCAAGTACAAACCGTACGTGGAACGCAATGATGACTGCTAAATATTGAGCGTGGATCAAATGAAACAAAGTATTTGCATACTACGTCCAAACAATAGTCACAAGTTGTACATGGTTTTCGATATTAATATAAATTTCTTCAATGTGATTCGATATCTAGGATTCATTGAACACGCTGCGCGTTTATAACTTCAAAAAAACTCCTCTTTTCAAACAACATACATTTATTTTACCGTCTGATTGACGTCTATTTTCGAGATAACCACATGCCATTACGAGATTTTTTACTTCGTGTCACAGAGTTCGCACTATCCTGTACTTGTTTCTCGTCTATGCATGCGTTGGAAATATAGATGATTTGCACTGTACTCGTCAGGAAGTTGTAGGTATAAAATGCTTGAACGTCACGATCACGATGGTTTCAGTGTTAATCAGCAAACAAAATGCAAATGAAATCCGAGCTAAAATATTCTACATCACGCAAAATAGCTACAAGCTAATATATCCAAAAATTTGCCTGCCAAACTCAAAATTAATCAGTATTATGTAGCTTAATGATAGGCATCATCGACACGGACCGAGAATATTTGCATTCAATTTATCGAACAGCCAGGAGCCATGAACTCAATAACTATAGAGGCCGAAAGTTAAGATTATACTTACGCATACGCACCGATAAATCATCCGTTGTATAAAAAACTGACTAAAAGTGTGATACAATTTCTGTATGTGACAAATCGCGATAGAATTTACATGCATGCAACTCACATGAACAATTGAAATAAGGAATCTGAAAATTCATAAAATACTGGAAAGAATGTGCTGTGTGTGAAACATTATAGGAAAACCCCGCGGTTACGCTCGATGAACTAATTGCGCCAACGTTACGCGCTCGTATTGCATTTTGGATCCGTGCTAAGGCCCTTCGGAACGTGAGATGGCGGCAATCGATGCTTTTCTTTTGAAATCTAGTGTGCGTACGGCGAACTGACTCATCGGGGGAAAAATCGAAAAGACTAATATGCTGCCTACCTGACTGCCAGGCGCCTCGTGTGCGCAAAACGAAGCTACGCTTTGTCGGGGAGAGGAGGGGATGGGGGCAACTCTGGTCTTTAAGTTTTACCTCCACGTGCCTGATGATACTTTTGAATTTTTGAATATCCTTTGAAAATTATCCAAATTATACTTTATGAATTTTTATAATAATCACGTTCTCAAAAGTTGTCTAATATGCATAATAAAGATAAAGTCCTTTGATTTGCTACGTATACGGACATTGACTTTTTCTTATTTGAAGTGCAAAAATATTTTCTAAAATATTTGCAAAAAAATATACTTATATTAAGAAAAAATCTTTCTTAATTTTACGTCTATATTGTAAAGTTACTTGACCAAACTAACGATTGCGATCACTGCTATACTTGAACGCGTTTCATAATATTTTTTTACCCACAATAAAACGATAGCAATGGTTTATTTTAAAAGGAAAATACATTTATGGATAAAATTCGCTCTATATATTGTATATTATAGTATAAAACAAAGTTACTACATGCATTGATATATTCGTAAAGAATGCCGTCCTTTATTATGCTTTGATCACTTATATGTCTCGTGTCTCATCGCGAATCAAGGACCCCATCGATATTCACAGTACAATAAAATTGTTATAGAAAAATTGATCGTAACTTTATTCAAATCATTTTCTGAAATCTTACATTATCAACACTCAAAAAAGCATCACTGATAAAAATGTCCATAGTACATATAAATGAACTAATCATTGTCAAACGATTTTTAACAGTGAGTTTTGTTTTTAATTTCTTTACTATCCATATTTTTAAGCTATGTATATGCAAATAAATAGACATGGCAATATGAAAATGAGTTTTTCTTCTGGAAACGGTCATACAGAATCCTTCGATAACGATTAGTCGGTATATATCTAAATATAGAATTTGGAAATTACTGTGACTATATTTAGTCATTTTCTCGTTACTACATATAATTCAAGTATTTCAAATATTCACAAATGAGGGACTTGAACGTTCACTATAAATTACTGTAGATATACAACGAGTGGGAAAAATTATCGCCCTTTCAAAAAATATTGCTCAAATTATTATAAACGAAATTTTTTTTAATTTACCAACTATATAAATTTACCTTATCCAGATTACAAATATTATGATTAACTACTTTTAGAGCGTTCCGTGCGGCAGTTTTTCATAAAAAATAATCCTGCAAAGATTTCCAGATGTCATACACGTTTATTTCTATGATAAAAATAAAATATAAGCGGATGTTATAACCAAATTGATATTATGCATCACTGAGTTTCAAATTATTTTGCGAAGACTGCACTGCTGCACAGATTACCTACTCCAAAATTGGTTAGTCGCAATCTAGGTGGAAGCGTTTTAAAAAACTAATCAACCTATACACTGTCTATATAGTTTAACTAAACCTTTGGAAGAAAATCACGACAGAACTTTTATAATCCTTGAGTACTGACAGAATGCTATGGCCGTGTCTTAAGGATTCTTCTATCCTTCCATACATATACAAACCAATATAAATCAATGGGTCAACTTTGCTTCAAGTTTTAACCGCGTTCAGTGCTCGTAATCCGAAAAAAAATAAACCGATAGTTTTTACTGCTTAAAGTACTGGGAATCAATTTTGGATCGTCCGGTCTATTAGTTTCTTCAACAATCAATGTTTACAAATATTGTTTCAAAAATATTTTTTAGATTTGAAAATTTGTTTACGTGACTGAATAGATGAAAAATGACAGCTCATTATTATTTTTGAAATATTTTCAAACATTTATTTTTATCGGATGATCTAAAATTGACTCATAGTTGCGGATAAACCTTGGAGCAAAGTCGACCCATTGATTTACATTGGTTTGTATATCTATGGAAGGACAGGGGGTGCTAAACACAAGAAATTGTAACAAACGACAGTAATAATAAAAGGTTAATAAACAGAGAAAACACAATTTTTTACTACTCAAAATATAATTGGTAGTGAACTATTTTGTTAGGTAAAATTGAATACTGTCAAATTCTATCTTGATATTTTCACTTCGTATAGTTATAATCGTATAATGCATTTTCTTTCAAATAAACCAACTTAAACAGTGTATTTACCTTTTAATAGTAATGCTAAAAAAATAAACTATATTCAGTTTCATGAACTCCTTATTTTACGAAATGAAAGTTAATGAACTATTTTAAATAATAGATAGATACAATTAATTGAAAGACAACCATTCATCAAAATTCATTTATTTTCAACCAATATTACACATCATTGTAATTTCATTCACGATAATTAATTTAAAAAATTGAAAATTATATTTAACAAGTTCATCATTTTCAAGTTGAAATATTTTGTGTCGTGAAAGTGATTTTGCTTAAAAATGACTATTTTTCTGCACGGATTTGGCAAAAATGTAATGTATAGACTAATTTACTACTCGCATAAAAAACATTTCAACGCCATTAAAGAACTTTGCTATTGCAACCGGCATCATGGATAAATATTGCTTTTTTGCGTACACAATGAAAAGTGAAAAATTATCATTGCTTAGAAAAATATCGACTGCTGATTTACATTACAAATTCTGTTGAAGATTCTACCAAGAATAGGTTGAACTGACAACAGCAAAAATGAATATTTTTCTTGGTAATTTTGTTCAGGTTCATGTATAACAATTCCTTTCATCTTTCATAAAAACTAAAAGTATAATCGATTTTTATAACAATGACCTCACTCTTTTATTTTTGATCTAATATATACAAATAATTAAAAAACATTTGACATTTTTTTCCGTACATTCAGCACAGCTCAGTTTTTTACGTTCGAAAAAATATTTCTGATGAATAGCTTAGCATAGTTCAGTTTTCTAATAGAGCCAATGTTAATTTTTGTATACTATACACATCACCTATTTTTTATTTGAAATAAAGTGCACTTGGAAACTGTACAGCTTTTATCAAAATGTTAATTGTAATCTATACAAATATTGAAACATGAACCATCCAATTGTAAAATACATAAGTTTATGGATATTTTTTCAATTGAGTGTGAATTTTACAAATAGGCTAACAATTATTTTTTCTTTAGCTTCATTTTGATTATTTTTTTATGCACAAGTTGAGAACTTACCTCAGTCATCTGTGAGTGAAATATACAAATACGTGTTTATGTAAAATAAAATCATTAACTTAAACTTTTAGTAATTAAAAAAAATTATGTCAAAAATGAAAGCTCCTTATAAACATACGTTTCAATGTCAACGCGACAAATAGGACAACAACTATTAGTGCACAACCATTGGTCAACGCAATTTTCGTGAAATAAATGCATACACGGGAGCCTCCTGTAAAATGTAAGTATTTATTAGGAATTTAATCTTACTAGTTTTTTAGACGTTTCAAGAATAATTACCGAACATCTTCATTTTCTTCAAACTCAGAAAGGCATATGGTACATTTATCAATAGCATCTTCATTAATTTCTACCGTTTTCACCTGAAACGAATTTTAATTCAATGAAATAACGTGTCAAATTTATGTTTCCCGCGATTACGCATTAACAAAGTCTTACCCTTTTATACTTATGTGGGAATGTATGATTTTCAATAGATTGTTGTGTTGCCCCGCCTCTTAGTGTGCACACTATACCTCTAACGTCAGTCATGGTTAAAATAGAAGACTCTTCTGAACGTGGCAACATAAAGGGATTGAATACCATATAATCGTGAACCGCTGGTTCAGACTGGAACAAATTTTTTCAATTGAAGAATCAAGAGGAATAAAAACATTAATTTAAAATAAAATATATATCACAGCTGGTGAAGTTCCGAAATTGGTAGAACTTCGAGTAGGACCACTTTCTGGATGGCTATAAACCATGGGTTGTTGGGGTGGTGGGAGGACTGTATTCGTAGATTCTGGTATCAGGCTGAATATATTATTTCTTCGTATGCACGATAGATTTGAATGATTGCAGCATGTACAAGCATAATGATAATTTTGTTGACTGGTATTGGGATAATGAGGAATGAATCTATTACAAAAAAAATAATACAATTTTAAATATTAAATAAAATGTGAATTAAAGTATTATTTTCTTAATCTTACCTATGAGTTCCATGTACTCTTCTAGAATGCTGGAAATTCTGACGCATGTGAAACCGATGCTGTTCTTGTATTCTCTGCTGAATCATCCACAATCTTTCCATTCTGGGAGACATTCTATGCATATGCATTCTTGTAACTGTAATATATATAAATGATATATTCAATATCTTTATATTATTTTATTGTAATTATATCTCACTTTCAAAATACACGCATTTTACGCTATATTTTATGCAATTTTTAAATATATTAAATTAAAACATTTGTTTACCTAAATCCATCACATGATTAGAGTGAAATGGTACCCCATTAGCATGAAATTGTGGCGGCGAATCTACCATTGGCCTCCAATCAGAATGGTGAACACAGTGTCTTCTATTATAAACATTTGATTAATAGATTAATATTTTTCCTTTTTGAAATCTACATTTCAAATAGCTCACTTTAAAAAAAGCTTGCAATGTCTTACCTAGGTCGAACTAGATTTACAGATTGGGGGTTTGGTTCATTGACTGGATTATTTACTAAATGTTCTTCATCTGATTCTGCTGTTAAATCTACTACAGTTACAGATTCAGTTGACTGGGAATTTTGTTCTTCTTGTGTTGATCTAGTTTGCTAAATAGAATCATTAATATTATATGTAACTTTGATTTACAAATATTTTATTTTTCTTACTGTTTACAATTAAAAATGTTTAAATACCTTTTTATCGAGATTGATTGTACCTACTACTTCTACTGAGCTACCTGCATCATCATCTTCACTACTACTAGTGCTAGAAAACCAGTCGAGCTGAAGATCTGGAGGAGTTGGTACACTTTCTGATCCTATAGTACATAACAAAATAGAGTCTTAATAGTTATATAATATATAATATAATATGAATGATAATTATCTATTAATAAGTGATTATTATTATTCTTACTCTGTGGTTGATTTGTATTTACATCATGGGAATTCATCACAGTTGTCTGAGTCGGTGTGTACATAGTTGTTTTTCTTATTTTATTATTGGAAATATTAAGATTTTCTGTACTTACAGGATTTTCTTCATAAGTTTCAGATTCACTTATGCTGTAATCATAATAATAAGTGTTTACTATTCCTAAATAAAATACTGGTGTCTAATTATAATGAATAATAATGCATAATTCAAATATGTTCATGACTTGTAAGCTGCAGAAGTGAAAAAAATTTTAAATGTAATTAAATTGATGTAAATGTTATGAGTATCTATATGTGTTTAGAAAATTATTTAAAATAAATAATAAAAGCATTATAAAATTATGTGTATAAAGATCTAACCTATAGGCAACAGGACGATCAATCAATCTAGATGGCCCAGCTATACTGTAACTATCAGTTTGAGGTTCAGTCATTCTTGTACGCTTTGGTTTAATGCACACTCTTTCAAATATTTGTGGCTTATCTTTTTCCAAAAATAATGCTTTACGTCTATAATTGTTTACATAAACTTTTTCTTGTGAATTATCTATTCGAGAAATGGCAGGTTTTTTTACAAATTTTTTCTTTCTGTTTTGACACCTTTTACAATTGCGAGAACCTGGCAGGTTATATTCTGAGGAATTCACAATAGAAGTAGGAACATAAGAATTGCAGGCATAATCATTACTAGTTCGTGGACGACGATGAAAGCGGCAAGAACATGGAACATCAGCTGTCATGTCTGTCTCTTCAACGTCACTATCAGCAAATAGCTGTTCATAGTCTATCTCATTCCCTGTATTTTATAAGAGTCATATTTCCAATATATTCAGTATGTGCAATCAAAAAAAATATTATTTTAAATTAAACAATTTGAAAAGTATTTGATAAAAGTTTAAATGTTTACTTTCTTTTTCATCTTATTATCAGCTCTCAAGCTTATTACTATATTTAATATTTAATAAGCATTAGAATTAAAAGTACTTTTTTTATTATGTAAGAAAATAATATACCTGAAGGATATCTAGAATGTGAAGCTGGTTCAGCTGTAGATGTAAATGCAGTATCAAAGATATCTGCTAAAGATGTTACATTTACAACACCCAAAGGAGCAGCTGCAGCTTCACTACCAAAAAGGTCATTGGGAGGTTCATTTTTTTCCTTTGGCCATGTATTTTTTGATTTTTCTCCTTCATCCATCATCCTTATGAAATTCAACAATGATTAATTATTTTGCTCGTTCATAATACATGGAATTCTTAACAATTTATAAAAGAATGTTAAACATCATTTATAATGTAAATTTTTAGACAATAAATACCAATAATTAAAACCCAATATAGTAACTATAACAAACTCTTTAAAGTAGCTATGATGAAATGATTAATTAAGACCAGTTAATTAATTAAAATAATTTTTTATAATGATAATGAATTTTGTTATGATTTAACAACAGTACTGATTATTGATGTCTAAAAGCAACATGAGCAACATGACTTCACAATCTGATAAGACAAAATAAAATGGGGCACTTCAACGCCACTAAGTAGTGTATAAAAAGTTCTTTAGATGAGTAGCGCACATAGAAATCTCAAATGAACATCGGTGTGCTTTCTCATACCAAGAATACATCCTTCTCAAGGGCTCTAAAAAAAGACTGACCGTGCTGCTACGTAATTTTGGCGTACCACACATGTGAAAAAACTTTGCCCGATGAGGAAAAAAGCAGTGAATAATGTGTAGCTGTAGTTTAGGATTGGCAACTGGTTCTTTTTCAGAAAAAAGAAGGTAATATTCTGACTAACAGGGGTTTGCGTACAACAGTCGAGCAGAATGATATTTGATCGAGAACGAAGTGTAAATATATGAGTGAACAGCAACGTAGAATGTTTGTGTATACATGTGTTTAGCTGAGCTGTGAAAGTATGTATGCGTGCACGGGCGCTTACCTTCTCTCGGATCTCGATTTCTTACAATGAATAATATAAGGCAACGGCGGAAATTTATTCAGTAGATCATTTCGTTCGTCTGTATGAGATAATATCTAGCTATAAATTATCGAAGAAAAGCAATCTGTTGAGAACTGCACGAGGAACGTCGAGAAGGGGCAGTCTACGAAACTGTACTGCTTTTAGGCTGGCGCTAGGCGACAACCAGAGACGACGCGTACATATACGTGTCTTTTCACTTCCTAGAATCGTGTGCAACATACACAGACGTTCTCTCGCCCTCACTCTCACACGGCAATGTATATTTTTATGATCTGCTGCAACAAATAATAAGCTCTGAACTCTTAGTCCGTTCTTCTCGTGTAGACGCTTTCATTGGTATCAGGATTGTTTCTTATCAACTTCCTACCGTGCTACTCCATCCAGACTTGTCCGCTCCACGGTAAATACAAACTCGCGATATATATGCTGTACCACATCAATGCAATAACAATAAAATGAATAAAGTGGAATAAAAAGATAGATAACACGCGGAGTTCCAGTTGCTGACGAATTATGACTGACGAGCGTGAAAACAGAGACAGCAACTAGCGCTCTCTCTTTTTTTCTCTTTCACTCACACTGAGCGTGTTTGCCTGTACTGTTGGTTTGGGCCGCTTGACTAGAGAGAGACGGAAATATGTATAGAGAGGAAATGCCAATGCCGAAGAAGAAAGAGCGACTACGCGGAGCGAGAACCCCTTGACAAAAAAAAAGGCTGGTGGAAACAATGCAATTTTTCAAACTGATGCAACTACCAGTAGTAAAAGAAATTACATTTATATACGCCTAGCGTTGTCTTTTTTAGATTTCGTTATGTTCAGTGTATTTTCGAATAACCGTCCGGTTGCTATGTCCCATTGAGAGTTCGTACGTCTTTCATTCATGTCCTCGCAGCTCTCTCTCTCTCTCTCTCTCTCAGCTCAGCTGTGCTCACAGATGATCGGACGCTTCCTCATAACGTAGCTAGTTGATCTGGGAAACGAGTTTTTAATGTTTACATAGAGGAAAGATTAGTACACACATGTAGCTGCTCTAAGAACTGAGCTATTAAAAGTTGAATATATATTGAAGAAAATTATATAATCATATATTCCACATCGGAGATTACTAGTTAATAGATTTACAAATAACACCTTTTTAAAAAAAATTGTGGAATTCTAGTCACTGTTAGGGTAGTAAACTACTAAGACCGTTAATAGTGAAAAGCTTAAGAGAGTGAGAGTGAGGATCCGCCCCCGAAAAGTGAAAGTGGCCAGCGGATCTCAAGCGGGCCTTGGCTTAACTCATTGCTCACTGCCTTGGCTAGATACTATTCCGTGCTAAAAACATTCTGTCTCATACCGTATTGTGGGTTTATTAAAGTAAGCAATGTCTCGTAACCATTATATTCAATATATTGACCGTTCAGTTACCTAGAATTTTAACCGTCTCTAAGGGCCTTTCTAAACTAAGGGAATATTCCTGTGATGTTCTTGTTCCGTGTGTTTTTGTACCGCCCGGAACATTAGTATAGTTCACCGTCTACCTCTATATGTATTAAGCGGTTGAAGAAGTACAAAAAGCGCAAAATATGCTCCGATTTCTAAACTTCTTAAACCATAGAGTATACGGACGTAGACGATGAACTGTACGAATGTTGTGGCAGGTACCAAATGACACGGAACAAGAACATCACAGGAATATTCCGTCAGTGTGGAAAGGCTCAATATTGGTCCAAATGATATATCGAATACCCTAATGACCCACTCTCCAACTCAAACACCCCTTACCCTAGTCTGCAAAGTGTAATGGACAGTGAAAAAAAATACCATTCGAAATATCTCTAATTGAACCCTCCAAAAATACTCATTATTTTAATTAAACCCCTTCAATTGTCCCAAAAAGATTAAAACCTATGATAATTTTTTCGTTTTTTGCAACTGCGATATCTTTAGTAATACTTAATATTTTTGCCAAGAAACAAGCAAAAAAATTGAACCCTTGCTCATTTTAATTGCACCCCTCTTACTTTTTCAAAATTATTAATATATATGTCAAAAACAACAATCTAATTTTATTGTATGTTCTTTCTAAATAGATGAGTTAACGCGTAACATACAATAAAATTAGATTGTTGTTTTTGACATATATGTTAATAATTTTGAAAAAGTAAGAGGGATGCAATTAAAATAAGCAAGGGTTCAATTTTTTGCTTGTTTCTTGGCAAAAATATTAAGTATTACTAAAGATTTCGCAGTTGCAAAAAACGAAAAAATTATCATAGTTTTTAATCTTTTTGGGACAACTGAAGGGGTTTAATTAAAATAATGAGCATTTTTAAAGGGTTCAATTAGAGATATTTCGAATAGTATTTTTTTTTCACTGTCTATTATACTTTGCCGGCTGGGGTAAGGGGGGTGCATAAATAACCAGTACAGGAGGGGTGATGAACTCAGTGGGAAATCAATAAAATTGATCCGGATAAATTATAGAAAAACTATACGTGATTGAATTTCGCTATCCTTGCCAATTAAACACAATATTTTCTATAATTTTTTCGTTGATTTTCCACTGAGTTCCGTCGTAAAGTAGTGGATATACTTTATGGAGGCGTTATATGCATATCTTATATTGGACGTGTCCTAAGATTATAAAAAAACTAATTAATTGCTTAACATCTAGGCATATCCGTCATTGCACAGGATAAAAAATATAAATATACTGTATTAATATTATTACAATTATATATATAAAATTTTACTATTTATTTTTTCAACATGATACATGTCCGATGTCTTCTCATATGTACACATATATCATAACTATATGTATACGTCCCTCGCGCGCGCGCGTGTGTGTGTGTGTGTCGCCTATGTATGTACATCGGATTCAAAATTAATTTAGTAAAATGAAAAGAATTATTTTATATGGTTACTATAAATATGATTTTCAACTAAACATATAGTGTATTCGTAAGAAGGGATACAGTGGAAGTATCACTTAAATGATGTTTAGGACGTGTAGAAGCGTATTTTTCGTAATTTTTGTCAGAAAATTTGAAAGGTACAGACATAGTAGTCTATGAGCTTTAAACGACAACTTTTAAATCTTATCTATATAAGAGCCATTATGTATTCTTATGTAGAAAAGCCTTTATTAGTCAAATTTCTTCGTTGCCTCAATTCTAAGATATTTTTCGATATTCTATTTATAATAATATAAGCAGGCTCTCCATAATAAGCTACGTGTTAATTTTCAAATTTTAAATTATAGTAGATTCATTTATAGCTGACCAAGGGTTTTGGAAATTTAGTATACCATATTTTTTAAAACACCAGTAAGTTATAGTAAACGAAGTTTCACAAATTTGCAACCACTTTCGCATGATTGCTAATACTAAAACTTAAATAAGTGAACGCTGTTTTGGTTGTAATTTGTTAGGAATGATAATAAGCATGGAGATTGCGGTTCGTCCTTGCTTAGAAAATACGTTTATATATCTATATTAAAAAAATAAATGACAGTTCTGAATTGTAATATATTTTTACGGATTTGTTACAGAGATCTAAAAATTAATACGCAATGGAACAATAAATTTCACGTGAATTAATATAAGTAATGTTTACTAAATTTAGACTTCAACTGAAGTAATTAAAAACTTATCTACTATAGTTGAAATTTACAAAATCCTTTAATGAAAATAATACTTTCATTAATACTTAAGAGTAATAGTTTTAATTAATTTATCTATACCTCAAATATTTCACCTGTATTCTCAGAAAAATGCAATAAATTAAAATAGGATCGCAAATAATAAATTATAAACACTGAAAAATGTGCAGAGAAAAATTTTTATTTTAGGTTCTTTACAGTTATTGTGACGATCACAAATGTTAGCGACGAGCATATAGTAAATTGACGGTTACGACTTGCGAGTCGCGCTCACGAGTTTGCAAAAAAGCTCAAGCTGTGCTTCTCAAATCATTTGCAAATCCACGTCTCAGCTGACTCGACCCGACCACGTATGAGAGCGAGTAAGAAATAGTGCTATTAGTTAGAAGAGCAACAAGGATAAGTGTAAGCTAGTCGAGAACGGCTTAGTTCGGGTTGGTAAAGGTCTCTTTCTCTGGCTGCTGCGCTGTGCTGCTGTTGATTTGGTTCGGACTTTTGACTGGCGCCTCCCCGCGATCCGAAAGATCACCGCGTGTAGTTAGACGATAGCATAGGGGCGAGCAGCTTTAATGGTGGCCGTCGTGCAGTAGCCAGCCACTAAGAGTTCAGCAGGAGCTGCCACAACGACCTGGATAATTTATTTTTCTATTTTCTGATCGGCCGGTAAGAAGTTTAATTGAAGGATGGCTGTAGCTGCCAGAGCGTTGTCTAAACTCACAGGTGAGTTGTATTTATGTCTGTGTACGCGCGATCTTGACTTCCCTTACCTTTGCTTCTATCCTTTTGCTCTTGTTCTCTTCACATCCATTTGCTGATCAGTTTTAATGAGACAGACAGAGCGATTTAATAAATTGTCGTTACACCGTTCGTGTTAGACCACTTTTTATTTGCAACCATCTCGTTTTATTCGATTCTTTTTCAACTTGATCGTTAACCTTGTACTCTGTCACTTCGCCTTCAAATAGGTCGAAGCTGACTTTTTCGATATAGAATTATGTAAGAAATCGACTAATTGTTCATATTTTCCTTTTGCATACTATTACTGACCTGCCAACTAGTTTTCAATTTAATTATGATGGTGTATTATTAAAATTTTTTCCATGTCCATAACTATAACCAGTTTCATCCATTTACAAAAACTAGTTTCTACTGACTTATAAATCAACGTATCAGAATCGAAATGGAAGCAATCCATATGAACTTTGATAGTTACAATGAATTCATTACACATGTTTACAAAAGTCATTAACAATGTCCCTAACCTCGTTGGATACTTTTCAATCAGAAAACCTTGATCTCGAATGTAAACCAAAAATGTTCTCCTATTTGTGAACGTTTTGTCATCACATGCATAGATGCTTAAATGAATTTTTTTGTTTTCCACCTCTATCACAATGTTCATGGTTAACTATTTCTATTTATAGCATCAACATCAAGTGTAGTGGGGATACTTCAAAAGTTCTGTACTAATGAAGGTCATTATTTTTTTATGTTATAGTTGGAAGTCGTGGTGGTATTTTCAGGTCTCAAATCAGGTTTAACTACACAGAAACCAGGAAGAATCTAAAAATTAACTGTGAAACTAAAGTCATATGCCAAGGCTTTACAGGAAAGCAAGGAACTTTTCACTGCCAACAGGCTTTAGACTATGGAACAAAAATTGTAGGTGGTGTCAATCCTAAAAAAGCAGGCACTGAACATCTTGGCAAGCCTGTATTTAAAAATGTTGCAGAGGTAAATGCATACTTTTTTAATAAAAAAAGTTTATCTAATCTTGATCTATACTGAATTTTAAAGTATCTTTCAAAATTGCATCAAATAAATTGATTTTTTTTTAATTTGAAAATTGATGTTATTGATTGAAAATTAAAGAAACTTTGTTTTCAACAAGATGTGTGTAAATTACAACTATCCTACAAGCTCAAAGAAAAACTAGCGCTTAAATTCACGCTTTTCACACAATCATTAGAAAAAGCTGTATCTAACATGTTCAGAAAAGAGATTCTTGTCTTTTGACACAAGACACTGGTTAGGTAATATACTATTTTAAAACAACAGGTGGGAAGCAAGAATTTAACCGCATAATTGTCATCGAGCATGTGAGAAAGTTGTACTTTCCGTACGGTATTGAAAAAAATTATTCTGCATGTTCTAAAACTTATCATGTCTGATATAATAAGTGCTAAAAAATCCAATGTAGATGTTTTTAAATTCAGCATATTTTTTATGAGTTTGGTACATTCTGTTCTTATACAAAACACTACTTGAGTGCTAATCTGTTTGACCTTATTGAACTCTTACTGCGATAAGAAAATGTAAATAACTGATAATAACATGGTTTATTACTTACATTACATGAATTTATATATGTATATATCTGTATGTATGTATGTATGTATGTATGTATGTATGTTTGTATTTATGTATGTATGTATGTATGTTTGTATTTATGTATGTATGTATGTATGTTTGTATTTATGTATGTACGAACAAAAAAAATGTTCTGAAAATATTCAGGCAAAACAAGCAACTGGAGCTACTGCATCAGTGATTTATGTACCACCACCTGCAGCTGCAGCAGCAATAATGGAAGCTCTGGACGCTGAAATGCCACTAATTGTTTGTATCACGGAAGGTGTTCCTCAACATGACATGGTAAAAGTAAAGCGGCGGCTACTAGAACAAAATAAGTCTCGTCTTATTGGGCCTAATTGTCCTGGAATTATTGCTCCAGAACAGGTAAATAAAAATTTCGTACTATTTGTTTTCATTCTCTAAATTAATAATATTGTTAAAACTTTATGATAAATTTGTCTGTTTTAATTAATATTTTAGCAATGAGATGTTAAAGTTATAACTTAGTAATGAGTATAATTATTTTTTAGTGCAAAATTGGAATCATGCCAGGACACATTCATCAGAGAGGTAAAATCGGCATTGTTTCAAGGTCAGGAACATTAACCTATGAAGCAGTAAACCAAACTACACTTGTAAGAACGCAAATGTAGTTATTATCAATTTTGTTTTAATACAAATATTTATAATATATTTTCTTCTTTCAGACTGGGCTAGGTCAGACACTATGTGTTGGTATTGGTGGAGATCCATTTAATGGTACAGACTTCATTGACTGCTTGGAAATATTCCTGCAAGATCCAGCTTGTGAAGGAATTATCATGATTGGTGAAATTGGTGGTAGTGCAGAAGAATTTGCTGCTGAATACCTTACTCAATATAATACTGTAAGTTATAATAACATAGATCTGCATGGTTTTGTTACGAGATGGCTGGAAGTTATTTTCGAAGTGATTTTCGGCATAGAAACCGAATCCGTGCTCAGAATTGCTTCATCCTGTCAGGTTTTTGAGTAATCCTAACCTAAAAATACAAAAAAATACAGTTTTTCGCTATATTTAAGCAGCAATAACTTAACCAACTTTCATTATATTTGAAATCTGATAAAACCATCAGAAAGAACAACTTTTCAGCTTTCCATTTCACTATTACATTTATAATTTTGGTTTTTGTAACCGGAAATATCACTAATTTAAAAAGAAATTGCAGGTTTTGTAATAACAGATATATGAAGGGAAATAATAATAGAACAAAATTTGTTTTTCATTTTTATTTCTGATGAACGAGAGAATAGCAGAGTCCTACCTCCTATCAATAAGGAAATTATTCATATCCTATCTTTTTTCCTTTATGTCGGTCATTACGAAACCTGTAATTTTTTTTCAATAATAATTTTCAATAATAATTCAACAATAATAATAATGATGGCGACATTTCCAGTTAAAAAAAATCATAAATATAAATAGCGAAATAGAAAAATAGAAAGTTGTACTTTTTTATGGTTTTGTCAGATTTGAAAAATAATGAAAGTTGATGAAGTTATTGGTATTCAAATATAAAAAACCTGACGTGATGGAGTAATTCTGAGACCCAATTTGGTTTCTATATCAAAAATTATTTCGGAAATAACTATCAGCATTTTCATAACAATCTCAACTTCATATTTTGCAGATCTATGAAATCGATTGTTATCAAGTCATGTCGATTTTTATGTATATCATGCATTTTTTCTATTTTAGGGATCGAAAGCTAAACCTGTTGTATCATTCATTGCTGGTGTCACAGCTCCACCAGGAAGAAGAATGGGTCACGCTGGTGCCATCATTTCTGGAGGAAAAGGCGGGGCTCAAGATAAAATTAATGCACTAGAAAAGGTATTTAGAAATACAAAACACATGTTTGTAAAAAAAAGTAAATTTTAAAAATTCTTATAGGCTGGCGTTATTGTAACTAGGAGCCCTGCGCAAATGGGAAACACACTATTGAAAGAAATGTGTCGTCGCGGTCTTGCTTAAATTACGAGTTTAAAATTTTTACTGAGAAAAAATTGAAAAAACTGTAGTTTATCTCAGTGTCCATGTATACTCGTGAAATAAATTAAACGCATCCTTCCGAAATTGTCATTAAAACAGTGTTGGTGGCGTAAGCAGAGGAATTAATATGGGGCATAAACTAATAATACTCTATTCACTACATTATTATAAAAATGAGTCGCTATTGCTTCACTATCACATTTCAATCAGTTGGCTTTTAAAGTTGGAGTAATTGCGGTGCACTCATTTTATTTTTGCGCTGTACAGTGCCAGTATGGTTGATAGAGTTCTGCAACAATTATTCATAATTCTCATCTTCAAATAAGACATAGCTGAGAAATTGCTCCCAGCTTATTAATGAGACTAAACGACAAAGTCTGTTCTAACATGTTTAAAGTTGAATATAACAATGCAGATATGCTATCTGCATACAATGGATGTAATTTTATTGTAAATTATGTTATATAATAAAATATGTCTATTAATATGGAGATTGTTATATATGAATAAAAATTTCTTCTTTATTCTTTTGTATCTTTTTCATATTTATTTTATAATTTTATAAAATTAGAAGGATACATACAGCTTTAAATATATAATTTTTCCAAAATAAATAACATTTCTCTCGCTTAAAAAATTGAAAAATGTAAGCTGTAAATCATGAAAAACCCATAATTACATCTATAACATTTGCAATTTTCTGACTTTTATTGTCTTTGAATGGTATTAGTTTTGTTAAATCCATCTTTTGCACGAGTTCACATAAATCTTTACAATTAGAATAATACAGATACCCATCCTTGTACAACTGTTCAGCAAGTTCCGATTGGTGATTATTCATAAGAAGATCATTTGTGACAATAATTAATGGCTTGCATAATTCTAAAGCCTCCAAACAACTTCCAGCTCCCGCATGACTAATGACTAAATCAGCAGACTTCATTGCCTCATTTAGAGATGGACTCAAATCAAATGCTTCAATGTGATTAAAACCTAATCTTGGAGTACAATCAGGTTTCAAATCAGTCTTGCCTATTTGCAAAATTAACTGATTGTATCCTTTTTTACATAGTTCCTGATTCAAAAGAAATTTTAGAAATAAATTAGGACAGATTTAAAAATTTCGCTATATTTACAACTTACTTTTAACAGTTCATCACTGGTGATGGTATTGATTAGATTATCAAATTTCGTAGTGCCAACAGTAACAAAAATTTTTTTGTTTGACATTTTTCAGCTGTAATATAAAAAAACTGAATTTTAAATGTACTTGTTGAAAAATTATTGAGAATAAAATTTTTAACAAATATAATATTGTTTGTAGTGCAATCCATTAACAAAGTTATAATAAATCTTAATTCTCTACTCACATATTAAAATTTTAGTTATACATGTAGTAATTCTAGGCCGAACAGTATTGTTCGGTTTACGAGCTTTCTAAACACTGTCAACATAAAAGCAGACTACAAAGTGTCGATAAATTAGAAGTCTGGAGAAATTGGCAGTCTGCAAATTTCTCAGTCAGGAACCGTCGGAAAATGTCACAATTATAACAACTTGCAGGTCATTACGTCAGGACAGGATGTTTTGCAAAAATAGTTAAAAATCTACAAATTTTGTAAGCCATTTATGCCTTTCGCGTCAATTACAAAAAGGTGATATTGGAATAAAGCAGATAAGCAGTGTGAGAAGAACGGAAAATTACTGAAGGTGCGGGAACCGGCCGGCGGGCGGCGACGTAGTATCGTTTATCTTAATATCCACGCAAGTCGCAACGCAGCAACGAACACAGGAACGCTGGGCGCTGCTGAGAGGGGGCAGTTTGGAGGCGACGGCAATACTCGAAGCGCGACGTGTGTTACACAAGGGCAAAGCACCTTAGTAGCAGCAGCAGCCGTAGCCTCGTAGCTGAGTACAGCAAGCAATAAACAAGCAGAGCCGCTTGCTATCACAGGTACACGTAGCACTGTTCCGTTCGGGTCCAACGCTTTGCACACATTTATTGACTGGACATAGCCAGGATGAGTTCAGTGCGTTACACGCGCAACCTCTTCCTCAGGGGCATCTGTGTAATCTACCTATTTGCTTTCCTCAGCTTCTACTACCAGATTCCCGGTAAGTATTAACGTAGTCTTTCCTCCAACTGCTTGCTTTGTACACCCGCCGACTTGCCGCGAGTTCCGGGACACACGGATGTTTCGTTTTAGTCAAAGCACCGAACGGCTTTCTTTTTGACATGCGACCCGGCATTTTGAGTCAACAATTGTATGTGCATGTGAAAAGTACACGATCGCAACTTTTCTCGTACACTCTCAGTAAGAAGCATACTTATTTAGATGCACTAGCTTACTATACCAACATTATTCCCAAGCTCTGTTACGGTTCATTAAAATCAATTAAAATACATATTATACGATTAAAACATGTTTACTGTTGACTCACTTTGTTAGTAAACAATAGATTACTGTGGTCAATAATTTTATTTGAATTATTTCTTATTTAGAAAAAACCTATATTCGATAATTATGTTCATTTTCCGGCTTGAATTTATCTTATCGTTCCTCTTACTCCATTATAAATAATACTAATATTATTAATTTTCGTGCTATTATCTGCATTTTTCCGATTTTAGAATTTTTATAATTCAAATCAATAAAATACGTCTTAGATACTCACTATTTAATCTCGATTTTCAAAAAAAAACAAGTTTTAAAATCTTTGCTATGACGAAATAATTATTATTAGAACTCCAGTCCATCTAAATGCACACGTTACGTTGATCTAGGAACAAAATTGACCTGACGGAAAAAAAATCGCGTATAGAGCTAGTTTGCCCGATAAAGAGATCGTCGTTCCTATATTCTCTTATTCTTTACGTGTCTTGCGCATGATTTTTGCGAGTTTGTAACGTCGCATCTATATTTTCTTCGAATGAGGCTACAATGTAACTGATATGTTTATCACTTTCAAAGTTTTGTAAAACTATTTAATATTGATTAAGCATAATTATTGAATATTACAAATCATCACCTAAGCCTCGCTGAAGCCCTAATAATTATTTTAACTATCTGCTTTTATGTTGTTATTGATGTTATTGATGTTTTCGAAAGAGTGGATCGTAAATTTGCGTGCATATGAAATCGATGACGCTTTTTTATTCACTTTGCACTTATAATATTTAAGACGTTAGTTGAGCAAGCGAATGCAGGGAAACTGGTTTTAATGGAAATAGTTTATTTTTTCTGGCGTATTTATTCTTGATGTATACAAATCTGCAACATTCATAAAGAAAGATTCAAATTTGTCGAAAAAGTGTTTTGATATTTATAGTATTTTAATTGACACACTATTGATTCACAAATATCATTGATACTTACTAATTGTTTCACAAAGTTTATTATTTTAAGTTGTCAAGCAGTATAAAACAAATATGCAGAATAAAGTGAAAAAAACTTCCTACTATTTATAAATAGATCGTTCAATTTTATTCCCTCATTACTCATTTTATTTGTGCTCAATTTACTCTTTTAACTAGACCCAAATAACTTTAAGAAGTGAAGTTGAGTCAAAAATAAAGTATGAAACAAAACAAATGTTTTTGTGTTAACTTTATTGCAGTTCATTACTCTTCTATGCTCAATTTTACTCATTTAAAAATATCTAACAGATATCAGTCTTGAAAGTTTATTTAATATTACTAATGTTTAGTTAATTGCTTTATTTAAACTACTAGTTTTGTAATTTTTTTCATTAAATTTGAAGTATATTTAAACATTTTGTAATTACTAAAATAATCATTACAAATCCTTATTATAGGACTATACGGTGATAATGGAGTACTACCAGCTAAAACACAGCTAGATTTAAATTCAAGAACACCTTTATTACAGAAAATGAGACAAAAACCTACATTGCTTTGGCTAGCTCCATATATAGGCCTGAATGTTGAGTATATGCTAGATGTTTTATCATTATTTGGAATAATATTTTCTTTTTTTGGGTAAGTGAAAACAACTTCAGTACTATGTGTACAAATACATGTGACAAATTCTTAACAATACTTTTTCTTTACAGTTTTGTATCTCAAAAGTTTTGCTCAGCTCCAGTATTTGCTGGTTTATGGTCATTCTACTATTCCATTTATCAAGTGGGTCAAACTTTCATGTGGTTCCAATGGTAAAATTACTCTAAAAATTAAAAAAATTTAACTAAAAAATTAATTTGTATAATTCAACTACACAATAGCATAAAAAATTTGTGATTATGTAACGATACAAGTTACCTTCTCTCCTTCATTTGTTACATTGATATTGTAACTTTATCATGCCAAGCATACTACAATTTTTATAGTTTCATATTCAGTAAAATTTTAATTTCAAATCTATTTGATAACATAGATTTTTGAAATGTGTTTATGAAATATAGGATAATGTATATTAAAAATATTTTACTGGAATTCTTTAGGGATCTTTTACTGCTGGAAGCAGGGTTCTTATGCATTATAGTAGCACCGTTTCAATACTCTAATCAATCAAGAAAAAGTACTCCAAGTGATACAGTTACTTTTTGGGCTGTGCGTTGGCTTCTTTTTCGTTTGATGTATTCTAGTGGAGTGTTAAAATTCACGTCTGGCTGCCCACTTTGGTGGAACTTAAATGGTATTTGAAGCTTATTTTTACTATTAACTACTCATATTAATGTTCAATTAATTTCAAATAACTATTCCTTTTTTAAAAAAGACTGAATGGTCTATCATATATTTTTGAAATTAATTTATAGCTTTAAGCGTCCACTTTGAGTCTCAATGTATTCCTACACCTTTGGCGTGGTACGCCCATCATTTACCAAAGTGGTTCCTCCGTTTTACCACAGTTGGAGCTCTTGTCATAGAAATCGTTGTGCCATTTCTTTTCTTTTTCCCTATAAGAAAAGTGCGAATTGTTTCTTTTTATTTACAAGTTAGTACATATAAACATCATTACATTATTTTAAAAATACAGGTTGAAAATAATTATCAGCTAATACATAATCATTCTTGCAGCTGTTAATACAACTCAATATAATAGCTACTGGAAACTACAACTTTTTCAACTTGTTAACCATTATTTTATGCATATCATTGTTAGATGATCAATTTTTCCATAAAAAAAGACCTAAAAATGATGGCTCTAAAGTTCTTGATTATTTGAAAACCTTGATTTGCATTCTAGTATATGGTGGCATGATTTATGGTACACATATATATTTCAATGTGAAATTGACCAATGACTGGACAATATCTTCAAAAATTGGTAAATATTGTTTCACTTTCCTTAAGATTCATAAATTTTATAACTTGGTTTCATTATATAACTACGTTTTACAGGATTTACTAAAGAGCAGTTTGAATATGTTCTTTCTCGATCTGTAACTTATTCCATATGGATAGGCGCTGCTTCGATATCTTTCATTTCCGTTAATGCTTTAACCAATTCAGCTATGAATTCCAAAGGAGCACAAAAAAAATTCGTAACTACTCTTGTTACGCTTATATATACAGTCATTGTAGTATTTATATTCACTTTAAGTGTTGTAAGAAATAATTCTATTGATGATTATAATTGTTTCTTAAAAAACGATATTAACTGTTTGTTATATGCACATATAGGTTCCATACTCTACATCTGTGTACCCAAAAATTAATTCAACACTTCCAAAACAATTAAAAAAAATTCATGCAAACCTGGATCATTTTCATTTAGTAAACAGTTATGGACTATTCCGAAAAATGACAGGAATAAGTGGAAGACCAGAAGTGGTAATTGAAGGTAGCAATGATATTGAAGGACCATGGAAAGAATATCATTTCTTGTACAAGCCTGGAGATGTAAATGCTACTTTACCGTTTGTTGGTAAGATTATCACCATGATTTATATTAATTATAGTTTATAATTATAAGTCATATTCTATAATTAAAATATTTGTTACTATTTTTAAACTCTGTGAGACTTCAATGAATAAATACAGCTTGAATTAAAAATAATTAGGTTGATAAAAACTTCAAAGAAATTTTTTCGTAATATACTCATTGTAGACTATTATTAGAAAAAACAAAAAATATGGATGGATTTGTTTGTCAACTATTTTCTTCAAATTACAGCGCCACATCAACCACGCCTTGATTGGCAAATGTGGTTTGCTGCTTTAGGAACTTATCATCAAAATCCTTGGCTTATGTCTTTGACATACAGACTTTTACATGGGCAACCGGAAGTTTTAGCTTTACTAAATAATGCTAAAAATCCGTTCCAAGCCAGACCGCCGAAGTTTATCAGAGCTAGTCTTTATACCTACCATTATACACCAAGTGATCAGTAAATATGATTTTACTACTAATAATCGAAAATTCAAATAAGTATTATATTTTTTAAAAATAATTTCAGAAAAAATGAAAAGATTTTTATGTTAATGTTTTTCAATTTGGTCAAGGTTGCTGTAAAATAAAGTAGTTTAATTAATATGTTTATAGACTGTAATTATATATTTATTAAAACTTGAACTACAGATAATTATATTTTAGATAATATGGAAATGCATACCAATTCAATAACTTAATTTTTTGAATGTCAGATAATCAGACACTCATTAACCTTCTTTATTAATTATCTTTTATTTTCTCAGGAGTTCTTCACAGTCATGGTGGAAGAGAGAAGTAATGAGCGAATATTTGCCAATCTATAGTCGTGATCACCCACCTCTAATTGAATACATATCAAAAATGAAGATACTTCAAGATAAACCAAATCCAAAAGTCACCAATACTACTTTTAAAGCTTTATTAGATTTCCTAAGATCTCTTGTAGCCAAAGTCGATGCAACTCTTGTGTTGTGGAGCGTTTTTACAGCAGGTCTTGCAGTAATCATGACTGGCTAAATAGAACGTTTAAACATTGTTTGCTAAAAGCAAAGAAGCGCAAATTTTATTTTAAAATAAATGCGTAATTTTTCTTTTTTTTCTTGTACGAACTATCGGTACTTTTATTTGTACCAAAATGTACCGTTTATTTTTTCTATGTAAATTATTCTATTCTTGTAATAATTAATTTTGCCTCTTATATTTACATTTTTCGAAAACACTGCCAATATCGTAAACATCGTGTTTGGTCTTGCCGACCAATTAAAAACAGCAGAATGCATATGAGAATTAGTTAAACTGTGTGATTGATTATTTGTTAGCATAGTACGTACTTTCGTCATAATTTATACTTCCCTTACTTGATAGTGCTCTCTTTACATTGTAATATTTTTATAAATTTTTTACATCATTATGTCAGAATTTTCAGTTGTACGTTTATTAAATGATTTTGTCTTTATGAAAAACTTAGTGTAACTATCGATAAACACGACTAAAAATCAAGCTATATCTTTTGTTTGAATATTTTTCATTTTGTAAGCTGTAAAAATTAAAAAACTTGATTCGTAGAATCGTATGGATGTACAGTAACTTTTTTCAATTTTATTTGTCAAAAATCAAGTCAGATTAAAGTATCTGTAGACCAAGATTAATATACTTTTTGATTAAATTTAATTAAAAATTATTAAATGTTATCGAGATAATTTTTGTAAAATAAAAATTAAGATAAACTTGTATCTTTCTGTAAGTTTATAAAGCAATATGCTCACAATTATACATTTCAATACATATTTAAAATGAAGTTTACAAAAATAAATTACACTTTTATTAATCATAATTTAAAAAAAAATTATTAGAATAACAGAAAACAGATATTTGAAAAAATGTAAAATAGTTTATTATCACCTTTCATTTTATTTACATTATAAACTTTCATATCATAAAAATAAATAAACTGATTGATAAATAATATAATTTGAAACTATTATCAAAAATTGTTAACAATAAACTAAAAATGTAGCATTTCTAACTTCGCAATTAACCTATCAATAAAAAAATCATTCTTTTTTAAAAGTTTTATAATTAATCTACCAACATGTTAGAAAAAATTAAGACAACTCATAGTCACAGTACTTTGGAACAATATTCATGAGTCTACTTCTACGTATTTAGTATTTACAAGTTTTACAACTGATTTCATTTTCTTTTTTTTACATTTTACATTCTTTTTCTGAAGTTTTTCAAGAGCGGGTAAAAATGCACTTTCATCGACAACATCAGGAGGTATTATGCGCGATAAACCAGTAGGTAAGTGAAACAATTGTTCATAACGTGTTTTAAATTTGTACAAAGATTCTCGTCCTCTACAAGTCAATTTGAATTGATTTTCACCTGAATTGGAAGGAAAATGTCTGGAAATCAAAAGAAGCTCTTGATAAGCCTGAAGAGTTGTTCGATTTGGTTCTAATTTCAATACAGGCACACTGTCGATTTTTATTTTCTCAGATAATAAATCATTAGTATGAGAATCATTAGAATCCATTTTGTTCAAATCCCAATTATATTTCCTTTTTGTATTTACAGTTTTTATAGCTGTACCCTAAAATAATACAATCAAATTAATTTATTGTAACTCAATATGAATGAAATATACTAGTATTCTATCAGATTAAATATAATTTATAAATGAATCTAGCTTACATTTTTTTTTACACTAGTATCTTGTTCAATAAAGAAGACTGAATTAAGTGATTGAACACTTCTCAATATATAAGCATTCTGAAGACCTTTACTACCATACAACTTAGTCAAAAGTTCCTTTACTTTTTCAAACTCCTCTTCAATTTCTTCTCCCAAATAGTCTGATACATATTTGTCAGCTGCTATTACGAGTTGTGTTTGATGAAGGTCTGCTGTATTGATTGAGTAATCAATACTTTTGGAATTGTTTTTCTTCAATCTTGGGGTGCAAAAACCAAATGGCAATGGAGGTATAAATCGTTCATTATCTGGTAGTGGTGCTTGGGGTCCAAACATTTGCAATCTCATTTTCTCAACCCGCTCATTCAAATTATTATATGGGGTTTCTATCCGCATTTTCAAAGATAACAAAAGTTGATGATATTTTTCACTTAAACCATAACTCTCAGTTTGATTAGGCACTTTCAAATAGGCATTAAATTTCAATAAATTATTATATAATATTTTTGTGTCTTCTTGTAACTTATCAGGATGATAAAATTTTCTTTTCTCTATATCTGATCTTATTCTTTCTTTTTTAAAGAAATGTATAAGTTGGTCATCAATCCTCATATGCTTGACGTATATTTCTCGATTTTCCCATGACCAAGGTGTGTTAGTGGTGTATGTAACTGTAGTGTGAGTTAAAATATTATTATCGGAATTTTTGTTCCTATCAATATTTTTTAGAGTAATGCCCCTTTTCTCTAAACGCATCAATGAGGCATAACGTAATCTTGCTTGAACTCTTGAAATATTAGGGATTTCTGAAGCAATTTTTGACCAATTAGAACCATATTTTCGCTTGAGCTGGAGAAGTTTCTCATCTCCTTCCAGAGTCCACTCTTTACTACTATTTTTTTTGGCTTGCAATGTATAAAAATGCTCTTTCAATTGAATATTTGTTCTATGATTCATTACTAAAGCTGCTATTTTACTAAAATTTTCACCATATTTTTCCACTGCATCTTCAAGCATACGGTCTTCTTGAGGAGAAAACCTACCTTTTTTCAAATGAGGTGCTAAACTATATGACCAACGGAAATATACCTAAAATAAAAGACAATTCTACTGTTAAAAGTCTAAGATAATAATATTACTAATGATTTTGATAAAAATGCTTGCTATTTAATATACAAGTAACAAATGTAAAATTGAATTGGAAAATGTTTGAGGTAGTTTATTCTTAATAGTATTTAAATGACATCATAGCAATATTTCAAAATAATTCAACATTTACCTGTTGTTTTGTCCAATTATTCATGCAACTAGCAATATATCCCCATGGAATGTAATCACCAATTTTTAATTTTGTGACTAAATGTATAAGAGTTCTATCATCAATTGGTGACCACGAAGTGCCTTTCATCAAATTTCTGAAGTTACTAGTATTATATCTAACAAAACATTGATAACCACTTCTTTTCGTATTTAGTTCTCTGGCAATTGCATCCCAATTTTCAAATCCATATGCTTCAACTATACGATTAAGGTTTTTATCCTCTTTCTCAGTCCATTTTTGTTTATTAATGTCAGGATGCAGAAATACATTCCACATTACTTCACATTCTTCTGCTGTATGCTTATTTTCAGGCATATTATTAGCTATTTTCAACCAATCAAATTTCATTAAACCTAATGATCCTATAGCTTTCTTTTCATCCTTAGATAAGTGGTTATTAATTTTACTATAATTATCAGAGTCAGCTTCATTATTTTCTTTTCTATTATAAAGATTTAAAGTGACTTCATATCTTATGGCTTTTAATAAATTATTTTTGTCCGTCTGGCTCCAGCGCTGTATACGTTGAAGATCAGCTAAGCGTAACTCTCTATTTCTCACTTTTGTTTCTACGTCTTCATTCCACTTAGCTGAAAAATAAGTCTTATCTTTAAAATATGGCATACCAGCATTAAAGCTCACTATTTTAGAAGTAGTCCATGCATTTGTAAACTTTGCAATTTCTGCATCAACCATGCGTTGTCTATTTTTACATTCTTCAAGTAATTTTACCATATTATCATGAGCATTAGTGACTAAGTCTATCAAATTTTTGTTCAAATCTAATAGATCATACAGGTTTTCACAACTATAATTTTCATAGGAATTATTTGAATGACTATAATCTTCATCAATAAGATCATTCTCATTTTGCACTTGATGATATTCATACTTTGTCTCCACTTTTGGCACCACATTCAGATTCAAAATGTTATTAACTGATGCATTTTCACATAATTTCAAAGATTTCTTTTGCTGAATTGCATTTTGTAAAAGCTCTATTTCATCAATCAGTTCTTGGTTGTCTTCTTGATCACTCATGTTTAAATCACCTACAAATTAATTACATCAAATTTAATCAAAATTATTTGGTATTAATGTTAAATTAATTATCTGTATTTGATGTATTTGATGCATTTGATTTTGTATTGATTCTGTATTGGATGTATAAATAATTTAATATTTAAATATTAAATTTAAAAAAATGAGCATTTATGCTCAAAATTATAACCTGGACGTAATTCAAGAGAAATTATACCTAAACAGTTCTAGAATAAATTTACCAAGTCAAAATGATAAAGGATCACAATGACTTAGTCAATCTATGAAAGAAACTGTTAAATCATTTTTTTAATTTCGCGCAATAAATACTGTTAGTTAAATCAAATTAATGAAAATACATTGATACAAGCATCACAAATACACAGACATATACGTGTATATTATACTGATGCTACATCGCAAGCTACACCTACATTTTTGGTGATATTTTATTGTATGAATTGTGACAGAGAGAAATTCTAAAAGTTAGCACCCAAATTTAACTTTTATAAATAATCAATAAACTAACAATCTTATAAAAAAGTATCGATTTTTTCCGGTTATTTTATGAGTTCGTTCGTGACTCATCATGGTTAAAAAAACTAAAATGTGTTACTGCGTTGGAGTTTAAATTTTAGTCAAACTAAAAAGTTATATAAAATCTTGTTGATGGAAAAATTTGTTGATAAGCTAATCTATTGAATGGCATGGATGATACACACGCGCGCGCGCACACACACGCGCACGCACGCACGCACGCACGCATGCACGCACGAACACACACATACATAACTGGAGCTCTATAATTTTTTAGCAGACATACCGGATATTATTGTAATAATATGAGAAACAATTATACCTAAAATTGTGTATTTTTACGTAGATTAAAAATTTTTTTTATATAAATTCCATAGAATCTAATGCTTTTTGTAAATAAACAAAAATCACTCTTTTTATTAATTTACACCTTATAATTCATAATGTCTCGTCTCGCACATCTAAATTCAATTTATAGTCGTTAATTTGTAATTTGCCTTGAGATCAAAGGAAACGCTTAATGACTCAATAATATTGTAACAATTACTTTTTGTCTCAACTAAAATTGTAAAGATGCAGCAGATTCCACTGGTGATGTATGACATTGAGGTCTCACTGAAGTCGAATTTAAAAAATGACAAACTATATATTCATCATTGAATCTGGCACTCAAATATTACTATACTGTTGTCAACGCACAACGATACTATCTGTACCACAACTTTAATGTCACTATAAAGTGCCTTTTAGTACACGCGTAACACCTTTACCATACGAATGGAGGTAATTTGCTGTGCACAAGAATTTTGTAAACAAAGCGCTCGGTCCACAATCTTTCTGAACTATACGGATTACACTTCGACCCTCTCGTATAGATATTACAATTTTACGAGTCTAAATGTTTTATAAGAAGAACAATAATCCAAACAGCTTCAATGAAAGAAGAATAGGTACCAAATCAATTGTCTATATTAATAAAAAATATCGAGTGCAATAATTCCTAATTTTAAATCGTCATTATTAAGCGTAAATTAGTCTGCCCAACGTGGTATAACAGAAGATTACATAATTTATGTCGTCACAGTCATATCAATGAAGATCAAAAATCTCGGTGTCACCTCTGAGTCCAGTTATACATTATTTATACTCGCACTCTTTCATATAAACATATATAAATAAAAAATATATATCCATAAACTTCAAGGAATAATGTAATAAATTTCATAAATGCCATTGTTCGAAATATAATATATCTCATTAAAAAATTTAAATAAAAAAATAGAAGGTATACAGATGGTTTAGGCAATATAAATGTATATATTATTAAAAAATATAGGTTTCAAAATAATAATTATTTCGATCTTGAAACTGCCCTTAAAATAGTTTTTTATATTCGTTGATTATGAAATTTAAACGAAGCACGATTAATCGTGTTTTTTTGAAAAGAGAACAAGAATTAAAGGTCAATACTTTGTTTACAAGCGTCGAACAATTTCTGTAATTCCACGTACGTTTTATTTATATAACTCATAGTTTCATCGATTCACCTCAGTGTGTGTATTTATTATAGGTATTCTTCTTTAAAATACAACGAACATAACAATCCGTTAATTGTTGTATGTTTTGTTTAATTTTTTCGTAATTTTCGTTTTTTTCAGTACATATACTTTATATTTGTGCATCTCACGATTAACAATCGGACGTTAAGCAATATTTTGCATAAAAACAATGAATAATAACGAGGCGATCAATGCAAAGTTTATTAAATAGTAAATTTAAAGAATATATTCAAAAGTTGTATTTTTGTTGGTAGCTCTGCAAGAGAAACGCCACGGGCCGTGATGGAACCGATGGAACTCACCGCGGACAATTCCGCGGCGGTGCGATACGCTAATGGTTGATGCGGAGATATATATATATATATAGTTACCACACTGAGCACCGAGAAGTAATGATGTCGGCTAGCTGAAAGCGAACGATCATAATGTACTAATAGTCTTTGCCACGAGCGAGCGATATTGCGTACGCGAACATCAGCGACTACAACGTAGAATAAGAATAATACTCTAAGATAATCTGTATAAGTATAGAGCAAGGTGACGGCATATATATGTATACATCAGAGTGTCCACTGCGGTGGCTTGTGGGAGAACGCGCGCGTGTTTTGTAGGCCTAGTGTTTTGCTCCGTTATAAAGTGCGCTGGCAGACAGTCGCACATCTGCCTCGACGAGAGAGCTGCAGCTGCGCACATATGTGTGCGTGCGCGAAATCAGCCGAGAGTAGCAGGCAGAGGCGAGAACGTTGCTGCCCGTTCAGTTCTACTCCTCTGCTACGAGCCATTCCGTCGCTCTGCTCAGCACTGTTGCAGGCTGCTACTACTGCTGACGGCAGAGTCGCGGACATTATCTCTCTTGTGCACACTCCTATTGCGATCGCGCGACAACAACAATATAGACGCAGAGCAACAAATAAGCGCTTCAATTAGGAGAGCAGTAGGCGTCCGATTGTCGTGAGTAGCAGTGAGGCAGTGAATAACAGTCGCGGTAGTCAGTAAGACGACTACGCACGTCGAAAGCCTTATGTCCAGCAGCTACTTGGCCGCTGCTCGGCTAGTGCTGGCGCGAGACTTCCACGGAACGACCATCGCAACGACGGCCACGAGAGCGAAGCAACCCAGCAGCTCGCCAGCATGAAGAAGCTCTTCTCCAAGATCGACAATACCACCGCCAAGGAGACCAACAGCTATCTGGGCAAGGTCTTCGTCGTTGGTCGACACAACGTCACCGTTGAGGAGGTTCTCGCTGAAGGTATGTTCTTGTCTCCTCTTTCTCTTTTCCTCTCTCTCTCTCTCTCTCTCACTCACTCTCTGCCCACCCACTTATCGGCTTTTCTCTTAGCTCTCTCTCTCTCTCTCTCTCTCTCTCTCTCTCTTTTCACTATAGCGTGTCCTATCTATTACTCTCAATCCAATAACTATGCCTACGACGGACACTTTCGTCTGCTCTATTTCGCGTACTATATGTTTCTTAATTTCTTCCTTTCCTTTCTGTTTTTACGTCTACTTGTGAAATACATTTACAGCTCTCTTAACAGTCGTGCCCTTTCGTAGTCTTTTTACTATCATACTTTTTCTTTCTTTTCCTGTATTCCTTGTCGAGATAATATTTATGACTTTTATCCTCACGAAGGTCAGTAATCTTTCACGACGAGAAAATATCCGTAGACAAATTACCGGTGTTCCTTTTCATTAGTAAATGACTTTTACATATCGGTATTTACAGATAACTGTATATTAATTGTAGATGTGTATTTTTAATTATTTACTTTTTTGATTTATTATAGATTGAGAGATTTTATCATTGCATAATCTAATATAATTGATCAAGTATAATTTACTTTTTCTTATCTTCAAATTCTTTAGCTATTCTATTTTTTATAAATATAAAACTGTTTATAAAGGTGTTTTTATATATGTTTGCGTTTTGCAGCCACTTATGAAAAGTGTAATCATATTCTTTATGAGTCATGGGGAAAATGTTAGTACTGTTCAAGTTGAGATTATTAGTTTCCAATGTTGCACATGAGCAGGATAGTATTTTCAGATCTATTAAAGTTTAATTATTTTTTTTTTGCACTGTTATAATGAATTCACTGAAATATTGAAAAGGAATGTCAATACTTATTCAATTCTAACATGAAAAAATTTCTACCACAATTTTTAATATCAAGCTTATAATCTTATCATGAAAGATAATAAAGACTAGTATACTTTTGCTTTGATAGTCAAACACCAAAGTCACATAAGTGGCTTAACTAGATGAATTCTATAAGCCCAAATTCATACAAAATTTCAGTCAACTTATCTTGATTGAAATTTGAACCATGAGATTTCCATAAGGGATGGAATGATTTATTTGATTATGAGTCTGTTATCTGAAAATTTTGAGATTAAAATAAGAAAACAAATAAAATCATTTTTAAAGTCTGATTTCAATTTCTTGGTTTTTATAGGAGGATTTGCCATAGTCTTCCTAGTCAAATCGTCAGGTGGTAGTCGCTATGCACTTAAACGCATGTACGTCAACAATGAACATGATCTCAATGTTTGTAAAAGAGAAATACAGATTGCAGTAAGTTATTTGAAATTCATAATCTATTAATTTTTTGTGAACATAGAAAATTATAAAAATATCCATTACATTTTGTATTATGGCAACAAAAGTTGAATTCTTTCTTTTTTTAGAGCAACCTGAGTGGACATAAAAATATAATAGGATATGTAGACAGCAGTATTACACATACAGGAGGAGGAGTGCATGAACTGCTTCTCCTGATGCCTTATTGTAAAACACAGGTTCTTCAATTAATGAATAACAGGTATAATTTAAACATATTGATTACATGATCATTGATTTTTATTAATAATATTTATGCATATTATTAGGTTACAAACTGGCTTTACAGAGCAAGAAGTTCTACAAATATTTTGTGATATTTGTGAAGCTGTTTCACGATTACACCATTGTCAAACTCCTATTATTCACAGAGATTTAAAAGTATTATTATTTATTTATACATTTGATTCTTCACATAATTCCTGTAATCAAATGATTTTTGTTTCATAAAATAAATATATAACAAAATTTATTTAAATAAAAAAAATCCAAAAAGCTATCAAGTTGTTTTGTAGAATCACTTAATTACAGGCTTTATTTTAATGTGAATAATTACATTGTTCATTTATTAATATTAATATTTTGTGCATAATAATAATATCTTTTTTCGTTTAGGTGGAAAATATTTTGCTAGCTGATTCAGGCAATTATGTATTATGTGATTTTGGCTCCGCAACTGGGAAAATCTTAAATCCAAGTGTTCACGGAGCATCAGTTGTTGAAGAGGAAATTAAAAAGTATACAACGCTTAGTTATAGGGCACCAGAAATGGTTGACATGTATTGTGGAAAACCAATCACCACAAAAGCAGATATTTGGGCCTTAGGATGTTTACTTTATAAACTGTGTTTTTTTACATTGCCTTTTGGAGAAAGTGCTCTTGCTATTCAGTCTGGAAATTTTACAGTTCCTGATAACTCAAGGTTTGTGTTTCACGCATATATTTTCTTTTAGAATATTAGTTGTTTTTCACAATTGAATAATACATAAAATTATATTTCACAGATATAGCAAATTCTTGCACTGTTTAATTCGTTACATGCTGGAGCCAGATCCTGATCTACGACCTGATATTTATCAAGTATCTGCAATTGCATTTCAATTAGCTGGCAAAGAAAATTCTGTTCAAAATTTACATGTACGTTTATCAAATTTATTCTTAAAATTTTAAGATAATATATATTACACAAGTTATATACAATCACAATCTTTTCATTTGTAGAAAGTTTCTACACCAACGATTGAAAGCTTGCCATCTCCACCTATGGAATCAGAAAGCATAAAAAGATCTTCTTCGGTAAAAATTGCAAAGGCTGCTACTGTAGCTCCTGTAGAAGGCACTTCAGTAACGCCTAGACAGAGACCAAAGGGACAAAATGTTAGTACTGGACCCATTAGTTTGAGTGGGCAAATTGTCGGACAACTGTCAGGTCAAGGAAACCATTCCCAAAGTTCAGCTGGCAATTCGGTCTCTTATGTCCAGGTCAATCAGCAGATTACTCCTATCAATACTCCTCAAGCCTTCTTACAGCCGATTCCCGGCAATAGTCAGCAAAATCTACAGTCATCTTTTGTTCAAGTGCCACCACACATTCCTTCACCCAGTCAGGCTCCTCCTTTTGGACAAGCTCCAGGACAACCATTGTATAATCAGTCGCAAAGCCCAATGTCAAGTCATTCTCCTTTAGCTCAACAATCACCTGTTACTGTGTCAGACAAGAACCTTTACTTCTTTGACTCAAGACCGCACGAAGCAAAAACTCCCTCAGGTCCAGGAAACGACGAAAATTTGGAAGCATTATTCCCCCCTTCTGGTAAGTTTCACTTGTAGTATAGTTTTTCTGTTGTTTTATTTGTATAAAATATAAACTTTTCTCTTGGTTTATTCCAGTATATCCTGATCCTTTCAAAGATGACGGACGATCATTGGCTGGCCAAGCTCTTACTAAAATTCCGCCGCCAATCGCCCCGAAACCTAAATTAATAACGCCGACAAGTGGCATAGCACCATCATCAAAGATGATATCTTCGTTGCAACAATCTAGCAACTTAAGTCAGACTTTAACTCCACCAGTGTTACCAAAACCCGCCAACAAGACGGAAAGTCTTAGTCAGAATATAAGTTCGAGCACTTCACCTCCAGAAAGTCCAACGTCTAATTCATCGCGACATAGACGGAATGTCAGCGATACAAGTGCATTCAATAAGTAAGTCTTCATCACACATTGCACTCTAGTCATTTTTCGTCTCACTTCGAATAGATTTACATTTATAAGTAAAGCGTAGTTTTTGCCAAAACATTTTGAGTTACGTTACATCATAGTCCACTTTTATATTGTATATACATGCTTACAAATCATACTTTTATTTTGGCAATTTTCATTCATGACGTCAAACTTTGACGACAGAAATGTCAATACTTTCAGAGTATTTGCAAACGAGACATCTCAGTTCCTAGCACCGTATGAAGCGTCTGTGAAACCACGTCCCGAAAATACTTCACCTCTTGAAGTACCTATGGATATAAAACCTGGAATCGGTGCAAGTGCATCGCATGTACGTATTGTAAGTAGATGAGCGCACCTTTTTGAGTTTCCGTTCACTAGTTTTTTTCATTTTCTTTTAATTATTGTATATTTTTTCATTACGTAATTATTTTATTTTCATTCTCTAATAACTTATGTTATAAGTTGATATGATTTTTATATTTAATTATTATTATTTATATTCAACTGCATTGCACTTAGATGGAATTGTTTTGACACGTGACTCAGAACGTGTTCAATTGCAGTTACATTTGCCCTCACGTAATAACTATATAATTCTACAACTCTTTTACTATTGAACAAAATATTTTTTATTTAAAAAGAATTACGTAATGAGTCCACGTGTATACAATTACTGTTTTATAAAGAAAACGATTACTTGAGTCATTATTGTTTCAAACATTAGGGTGAATTGTCAAGCATATCAGGAACTGAAAATAGGTCTCTGAGCGTGGATGTAGCGGCTTGGAATCCTTTTGAAGATGCTCAACCATTCAGTCAACTCACGGAAGATCACATTTTCGGTGCTGAATTTGATAAAATAAGAAGAGGAAGCAACAGCAGCATAAGCGGTGTCAAAAGTCGTGAAAGTTTAGTCATGACATACTCAGAAATTCCAAAAGATCCTTTTGAGTCAGCTCCCTTTAGTATGCCAAGTAAGTTTTTGTAAAAACTGTCAATACTTTTTATAATGGAATTACTTCAATTATAATTAAAATCATTGTGTTAACTTGTTTTTTAATATTTTCCTAATTTTGTTTATTTTTATTTCAGCAAGCAAAAAAAGTAAAATTGGAACAAAAGCAGCAGCTATTGCTGGAGGTAACGCATGAGAAATTCATTTTTTTACAATTTTCTTTTCCGATACCACTTTCTTACTTATAAGAGCGCTGAATAAAGCAATAATTTTTATTTCTTTCAAACTTTGTCGGTGCAAAGAGTTATAGAAACACGTAAACTTTATCACGAGGGTTATTTTCTCGAAATGGTTCACAAGATTCACTTCAAGAGCACAAAATCTTCTTTTAAATTATATATTTAAATAGTATTATCGAAAGCGAGAAAATCAATAAGATCAAATTAGAACGTGCTAAATATTAATATCTTTATTGAATATTAGCAGTAATTTTGTGATGACTTTCGTTTAATTAATATGAAAAATAACTGAGATTGAATATAATTTCTTATATTAGTTATCTTTTACACATATTTCACAATTTCAGAAATTTCTAGTCTATAGAACATTAATGATGTATCATAATCAATGTAGGCCTTTAAATGGTTTAGGTTATTTATAATTTTTTTTCTATCCGCTTAATCTTTCGTTTGTTGTAAAAATCAAGATAATATGCTTGTATTATTATAAATACCATTACGTTCTTTTTAATTAATATTAATGAATCGATACAAACGGACTATGATTTTTTTATCCAAAGCTTAAAACCAGTTAATATGTTTTAGTTAATAAAAACTTGTTTCGTTTTTTTTTTTTATATATATAAACGGAATTTGTATATTTTTTATGCTTATAATTGGTGAGGATAATAAGAGTTTGCTTTTAAAAGTATTTGTTTGATTAAAAGTTCATTTATTAGTAAAATTCAATGACCGCGCGTATAAAAAGAGTTCGCTTATAAATAAAATTTTTCTGTGATTTACCATTCGTTCAGTTATGCTGTTATGCTCAAAGTCATACAAACACTTATTATTAAGTTTGGAATCCTTTACTTAAAACTTAAATGTTGTCTTAACATTTTGTATATTGATGAAGATATCATGTGGTTATTTTGAAAAGGCGCGTTTAAAATCAGTAATACTATATTCTAATCCAATGAAATACCTCACGTATAAAAAAAATGGAAATTAATATATCATTTAGCGTAATAATAGTTAGGTTGCAAGTTGCTAGCAGTGTTGTAAATAATTTGAAAACTGATAAGTCTTAATTTTTTAACAAATTATTCAATAAATTAGATGAATTCGTTTATATCATAAGATGGCCAGATGAGCGAAATTATCATCACTTGTACGATACAAAAATAATTAAGATTGAAACGTAAGAATGTTTTCATTACTGTGGGAGCAATCTTTAATTGCATTGAACTCAAAACGCGGTTAAGAGTTACAGAAACCTAGAATTATCAAAACTATTGTATAGAAGATAAATAATTATTAAAATCTTATGAAACACGAAAAAAAAAACATATTTTTCAAAAGAGGAAGAACCGAATTCATACCTGAACAAAAAAAAAACGAAAACAAAACAACGTGCGTGTGTGTATGGGTGTGTGTGTATATACATATATATATATATACACTCAAATAAATACACCTTATTATATAAATATAGCTTTAAGTATAATCTTCGAACGTGCTAAGAAAAGCAAAATGACAATGACAGTTTTTCTGACTACAAAGTTGAAATTACATACTTTTTGACTCTGCGTACTTTTTCTTCCATATCTGTTACGTGCTGGCACGTCATGCTTTCCATTCTCTCGACTATACTCGTACTATATATTTTGATTATTCGTTTTCTGATATAATTTAGATATAAAAACGATTGAAACTGTATGGTATGTATTTTTCATGATGACGAGTTGTAAAGAGATAAGTAAATATGAATTGAATTCAATACTTATATATAATAATAAGAAGTGAAAGAACAAAATGAAAAGATTTTTGGAATGTTGTATGATATCTGCAGCATGTCCAAAGTTAGTAGCACCTCTGAAGATTTTGGGTATAGTGGAAAGCTTGCTTATTTGTGTGTACTAGTTTGTCCTTTTCTCTTTTTGATTAATTAAAACGAGGAGTGTGTAAATATTGACTTTGGCGACACTAATCGGTAACCGGATCACAGACCTTAATGCTTCATTCGATAGGGATACATTAATCTAAAAGCAATGACATTTGCAAAAGCATCTTCAAATCGAATTGGCACTTGCACTGACTTTGTTCAGCTTAATTATTGAGTGAACCGGGTGCTTGCGGTTGAGTGTCTTCTCTGTCCATTGTCTGGAACAACCTAATAAGTTCAGGAGGCTTTTAACATTAGTTTCATTTCACGATGCGCTCTTATTTCAATCACTTAACTAATAATTGTGTACAAATTATATGTAATTAACTTAGATCAAAAGTCCATATTTTTTTAAATAATCGTTTAATCAATCTTATCGTTTCTTTTATTTTTTTATTTCATCAATTGCTTAATTCGTTATTTATTAAAAATGTTTTATGTTAAATTTGTTGTTATTTATACCATAATTGAGTATTTACTTTTTGTGTACATATGATTTGACTAATAACAAAGTATAGTTTGTAAATAGAATTTACTATTTTTTGGTAATATTTCTAAAAAACATACGATAGAGATTGCTACGTTTGATTTTCATTCTATAGACTAGCAATACATGGCGGTTTGGAAAAAAATGAAGTAAGGGAAACATTTAAATTTTATCTATAGTCACAAAGTAAATGATTGTTGTAAAAATAAAAGGGAAGAACTAGTATATATCAACAAAAAGAGAATACCATTTTGAGTGTAAATTTCAAAACACCGAGGGCCTGATAATTTTGGGGCATTGCTGTGTATTAAAATACTGATGTTAACAGCAATAAATAATATGTACATTAGCACATCGAGTTTTTTCTTATTAAAAAAATATATATACATTTAATCAGATGTGAAAAACGCAATAATCATATAGTATTCATTGTTTTTCAGAATGCTATTTTTCAATAATTCCTCAGACTTAAAATTCCAAACAACACACTTAATTTGCGTTTTTCACGCTCTTATTCCTTACCCTCAGAATCTGATTAGGACTGTTCCAGACAAAAGGTGACACTAATAACCAATCAAAAAGCTTGTATTTTAAAGCTCAGTTGAAATGAAAAAAAAAACAAAAAAAAAAACTAGTAACTGAATCTTTTGCTCGCATATCTTATGTATTTTAAGTAGACGTAGATTCATGTTGAGAATGTAACTTGTGGTTTATTTGCACTGCACTATTAAATCTGGTATGTACTGTCAGCAGCAGGCCTAATCAGACACCTCCTATCTAACTACTATCCTTCAATTCTGAACTATAATTATACATTACCAAATAATAATAATAATAATAATAATTAATGCTACTGCGATGTGGTTCAACAAATTGGGTGGCTATGTGTTGGTGGATAAATATTGCCCGTATACAGCGTATTTTTTTCAAAGCTATTGTTCTTTAAATATTTTTTCCTCGCGGTATGCAAGTAAAACGTGTAGTAGGTAAGTATCTAGCTTGGTTTATTTGAAAGAAAACTAATAAAAAAAAATCACAAGTATGCTGACTCGAACTAACATTTTGCCCTCGCCAGCACTTGCTTTTTAACTGCTTTACCAATTGCATATTTATGAAAAGTCTTATTCATCACAAAGTAATATACAATCATGGACATTAAATGCACTTGGCTAAATTGCTTTCTATAACCGTAAATCAAATAACAACTCTTACTACACACAATGCGATAAAATATTATGGAAAATCTACTTTAACATTGAATGTTCACAAATAAAAAAAACAAAGTTGAATGTTTATTCAAAGATATAATTTCACCAGCAATGATCGTTAGGAAAGCTTTGTTCATGAAAAGTCAACATAATGACGAAGTCAATATATCGATTAGTTAGAGGCGTAATTAGTCACGCCTACGAGTTATTAAACTCAAATACAAGTTTCACTTATTGACAATGCGAAAATTCAATTCCAACATAATGAAATATCACGCATATATTGCAAAGATTGACAATCGATCACTGCACATCGAATAACGTATCTGGAACTAACAAAGTGACAGACGAAAAGTATTTCAAAGTCGACTAAACGATTAGCTGCTTTTTCCATTCTTTTTCACACTGTATATTTAATAAGCTACTAGGTCTGTCGATCTTCAATTATTGGCAAATTCGTATTTTGTTTGAATGTGTGCAGGTGGTTTGTTGAGCTCGACGAGCAAGTTACCCGAAGGAGAGCCATCGAAGTGCCAGCCGATCACAAAGGCTAACCCCGCCCCGACGACCACTCTGCAGTGGAGCCCGAAGGAGAAGAACGATGACGTCGAAGTCGGCATCGGCATGGAAACAGTGAGCGTCGCCGATGGAGCCTCTCTGCTGGCGAGCGCCGGGGCAGCCTCCCCGGTCTCGCCGCCGTTCGTGCGCGCACCCATTGAGGACCGTTCCAAGTACGAGAAGCTGGCCTTCAACGTGGACGAGGTGTCGAGCGACAGCGACAAAGAGAAGCAGTCGAACGAGGATGCATGGGTGAAGAAGAAGAGGCGTCGCGTCAAGGCCGTGCTGGACCGGGCACGCAAAATGGCCCTGGACAAGTCGTCGTCGCACTCGCAGGAGCAGCAGGAAACCGAGCCGTCGGCGGCGGCGTACGAGAGCGACGACTCGATCGGGTCGGCGAGCGACCTGAAGGCCGCGAACGACGATGAGGCAGCGAGCGACGGGGCCGAGGAGGCCGACTACGACGACGAGATGGACGAGGAGGAGCGCGGCAAGATCGACGAGACCGTCAGCGAGAGCGTGCGCACCTGCAGCAGCTCGGCCTACCACGCCGAGTGCGAGTCCGTGGCGACGCGCGAGGAGCCCGAGCAGCTACGCGCGCGCCGTCAGCGCCGGCACCAGCAGCTCCTGCAGCAGCAGCAGCTACTGCTGCAGCGCCGCCAAGCCGACCTACCCGAGGCGGACCCCGTAGTCGGGCACCGCTACGGCGAGCAGCCGCTGCTGCTGGACGACGAGCTCGATCCCGAGGCCAAGCCCGAGCAGATCCGTGGTGACCCGTTTGTTAAACGCCAGTACCAGATGAAGCCGCTGTCGAGGCGGCGGTCCGGCGGCGGTGGCGGCGCCGACGACAGCTCGTCCGACGAGGCGGCTAAGCAGCCGCGCAGCCTCAGCAACGGCCTCTGGAAGCTCGACGAGGACGTGTTCGCGATGGCTCCCTTCCACCGACCCTCGGGCTTCAGGAAGGCCGCCGGCTCTGCGGCGCCGGCGCGGGAGCCTCGCGGCGCCCACTCGGCCGGTCGCGTTGAGACACCTGCGGATGAGTGCGCGAGCAGCGCGGCGCCCGTCGCCTCGAGTTCGCCGATCGTGGCCAACGACCTCGTCGACATCGGCGACGAGGACTCGCAACCTCGGCCGCCGCTGGCGCCACCGCCGATGTACCGCTTCCCCGTGGTGGCCGGAATTGACGGCCCTGACTGCGCCACCGCGCCATCCAGGACAACCAACTTCCAGCAGCCTCGCCAAGATCCAGCTGCGGATCGCAGGGACTTGTTCGGCTCGTCGCCCTTCGACTCGAATGGCTTCGACAACCCCTTCGACAGTATGTCGAGCTACGGCGGCCCGGACCTGAGCCGCAAAGTCCAGCTTGTCGCGAAGAACTGCAAGCCTCAGCTGCTCTACGCCGACCAAGCTTCATTTGGCTTTCAACAGATGCAGTCGCCGACCGTCGCGTCTGCTTCCAAGTTCGGCCTCGTTACCGTCACCTCGAACGTGAGCGCCCAACCGGTCGCGAGTATTCCCAGGAAAGAGGAGCCCAAAGATCTGTTCGGCTCGGTGCCCTTCGACGAGATAGCTGCCCTGACGCCTAACTCCATCAACCGGGACCAGCAACAGCCAAGGCCTACTTCGTTGCCGCTGACGCAGTCGCCGACCTTCGTGGATAAAGCCCTCGGAACGATTCTGTCGAGCAGCGCCCAGTCGTCACACTCTACTCAGATACAGCCAATTTTTAATCCCACTTACGGCATGCCCACGAGAATAACTATCCAGAACAACGTTGCGAGGATAGAGACTGTGTCGCCCGAGACGGACGTAGTCACGTCACTGATGTCTCCGGAGCCACTGGTAGCGCAGGACTCTGCTAAGCACAAGAAGCATCACGAAAAAGCCTCGAAACACGAAAAGTCCAAGTATTATTTGATAAGCAAGAATCTCGGGGAGAGCTTCAACGCGCTGCCCTCTAAGGCCCTCCACAAAACTAGCAAAGCATCCTCGAAGAAGACGCCAAAGAGCAGCAAAAAGTCGGCAATCGTCACCGCTGGTTTCAGTAATATGAGCTTCGAGGACTTTCCTAGTGACGAAAACAACGAGGGCGTAAGGCAATCTGCTAGTACGAGAGCCGCATACGAAGTGATCAGGGAACCGGAAAAGAGGTTCGGCTCGCTCAAGAGGAGAAGCAACCCGTTCACCTGATGAAAGTTGAGTCTCATAGCTTCGGAAGGTTTTTGATGTGCGCCTGGTATCCTGTACTGTTCACTACATCACGCTGATCGAGATCCGATCACGTTGCCTCCTATTTATTGCATTAATTGGTTTTTCCAAAGTGTATTTATTTAATTTCGTCCATCATTCGTGCGTTTATTTTTCTATATATATATATATATATATATATATATATATATGTGTGTGTGTATAGTCCATTTATTATAAACTTTCAAATGGTCTACGTGGAGCAAAGATAGCATTTTTGTAAATGGAAACGAAGCGAATTTGCGTGGTTGTTATTTATAAGAATGTAACATCTACATTTTTACGTGGTTATACTTTATCTTGATTAACGTGGTAGCATTCAAACTCTAACGAGAAAACAATACCGAAAATGTTAACTCCATTGTTCCCTGTAGAAGCATTTAGTCACTTCACTTCCTGATACAGTAGTGAAAAGAGGTTGTTTATTTATTTAGGCAGCTCAATACCAAAAATAATAAAAGTATAGTAAGCAAAAATTATTAACTTTTTAAGTACATATAAAATTGGATAACATGCAGCTGGCGTGTATGTATATCTATTTTTACAACTGCATTGTAAAAAGGCAGCGATTTATCTGTAATAAAAGTATCAGCCCACTTGTATTAGTTTCACGCTTCAATCATTACGTTAAAAAATAATTAATGACTTGTCATTGTTTAGATACATTTAATCTACAAACCGTCTATACAAGTCTTTAAAAAAACAAGGATAATGTTCAGATCTTTTGTGAGAATGATTTTTACCAATGCATAAGCAAATGGAATATTAATCAACATACGTAACATTTTTTAAACAATAACTTGACATCTATAGAAAGACAAAATGGTTGCGAAAAAAAGAAACCAAAAGATGGTTGCGAGTCCAAGACGTCGCTTTGTCTAAAAATCGCCTTATCACAAAAGACTGAATCACCGTTACTCTCCTTGCTTACATTATTACAGTAATTGAAAATATTTTGAACTCCTAATAATCTATGGACTGAAATCCTTACTTCAAGCATTTTATGATTTTAAAGATACAATATCTTCATTTCATTTCTTTCAAACGAGGAAAAATATTAGGCTCTTATTTTTATTTAGTTATCTTTAGTAATTCACTAGTAAGTATATTTTGTTTTACAAACTTTGTTTTGTTTTGAAAACTTTTTTCTATGAAATCATCTGACGTAAATTTATTATTCAATTAATTATTTATATTTTTCGGCACTAAAAGTGTATTCTATGAAAACATTCTATTTGTTGCTACATTTTTTTAAAGCTTATTTAAGTGGTATTTATATTGATCATTATTTTATGTTTCTAATTATTTCTTTATTAAAGGTCAAAAACTTAAAATTGTAATAAAATCTTTTCTGTTTTTACTCATATAATTTGAAAATGATCTTTACAAATAAACTATAAGCTTTTACATATAAATATATACTTAGATTTATTCTTCAAAAAGCCCGAGAAAAAATTAAATATAGAATACTTTTTTATGGCTGTTATTAAACTTTGTGATGAAAAATTTAAAAGTAAATAATTATTTAATTTACCGAAAAAATATTTGTCACCGCTAAACAATTATATTTGAGCCTATATAGGTGCTAAGGTGATTTCTCTTACGAGAGTATTATTCCATTAACTTTCAATATGCAACTTAAATTAAGCGATATTTTTTATGTAAAGCATTTTTTTTGTTAATTTTGTGTATAAAATTATGTGCGTTGAGCGTACAAGCTATTCTACGTATAAGTAAACATGCAAAGTATAATTTAATTATCATGTATACCTGTTTTGTTATTTCTTTGTTTTAAAAATACATTTTTTTATTGACAAAATACGTCTTATGAAATATTCCACCGTTTTTTTTAATTGTATTACTTTAGATTATTGAAATTTTTTTATGAGTATAAAATAATGCTTATACATAGTGGAATCTGCTTATGACGATGGAAGTGGAAAACACTTATAACAAAAACTGGATTGTAATGAATATCTTTTCAAACTATATTTAATTTGCGCTATAGAATTTTCTAAATATGATTTAAATGGACGTAATAATCAGATGGATATAAGGAACCTTTTGTACAGTTCCTTAAAATTTGTTACAACCGGATTCCAGTGTATGTTCGAATGAGACAATATTATAATCAATTCTTATATTTTCAAATATAAAATATAATATATAAACATTTACAGAAATGATAATAGGTACTACATCTGTATCACGTTTATATAAATCAGCTAAAATAATATGTGCCTTCCTTTATCATTTTTTTTTCTTTATACTGAAGGGTATGATGTCTGTATCTACTCTTATTGAATTATGTAAACTGATTACCTGATCGTATTAAAACGATGCCGTTGTTGAATCAAATGATGAGATTCAAAACTACGTAGATTATCGTGCCAACTGCGTAAGAACTAATGTAAATTGATAAGGTCATATCAATATTTCAAATTCGAAAATGCTGATAAGCTGTTAATAAATTTTCTGGAAATGTAAATTGGAGAATAAAAGTATATTTCAAATATAGTTTTTCACAGCAAGTTTCTTTGTATTCAAAAACAACAACGATAATAAACATATTCAAAAACACGATTTTCAATCACGCAAGTATGTTCATAAGATACATTGATTTTAAGTTCGTAAAATTATATCAAAATAATGTGTATTAAATAGAAGCCCAAAAGTATTAGCAAATATTTTTTGAGTCATATTTGTACATCGTGCCTTTAAAACTCATTTTTTCTGAGTTAAAGGTAATTTATTGATTAATTATTAATATAATTTAATCTTACAAAAATATTTAAAATAAAAAATACGACAACCGAATCTTATACGTTAAAATACAAATAGCATATATAATAAATTATGTTAATTGCGTACATTTTTTTGCTTTAAATATTTAAAAATCTAAGTATTACTCAACTCAAAGTTATAGATATTTTACCTTCACTAAAATTATGTAAAATAACAGTTTAAGTTATATTAACAAAATCAAATTTAAAATGCATTATTGATCGATGTTTATTTATTCTTAATATATTAAGAATAATTAAACTTGCTATTCAATTATTAACTGAAGCATTTCCTCGCTAACATTGTTATTTTAAAAATCACAATTATATGCAATTATATTCAAACTTTAAAATAATCTTATCCATTTTATTTTTTTAAATGCTTATGACTTAACACTGGCCTCTTCACGCGGCCTCATGGGCAGTGGTGGGAAGAATGCGCTCGAAAACTGAACGCGCCACTTCAAATCGGTCGCACGGAAAAAAAAATTGCTCTAATTCGGAAACTTACCATCCGATTTCAACATTTTTTTTTGAAGGGGTAGCAAACAAAAATATTAACAGCTTTTAAGGTCAACTAGCTTATGCTTAATTTGTTTATATATGACTATAATTTTTACGAATTTTTTTTTTCTCAGTGTGACGTATTTTTTAATGGACAATTAGTATAATGCACAAATGTTTCCCCAAATTTCAATAATAATTCACAAAAATTAATTTGTATACATTTAGGTAAGTCTATACAGAAATATTTATTTAATTAATCATTGAAACAGTCATAAATATTAAAAGAATATGATTTATTTCTTGTCTTGTTTTTTTCTCTTTTATCTTAACTCTTAAATCTATATCTTAACTCTAGCATCTTACATAACAGATCGTGAAAGTAGACATTATATTCGATTATTTATTGAAATAAAATTAAAAAACGTTAGACGAAAAGAACTGCTTATAAATAAATCCACGACAAATGTATTAATCAATCGTTGACGAAGAAACTAAAGAAATATTTAATTTTAACAAAAATGATACGAGTCCATTTACAGTGTTAGTAGCTGTTTAGTAAAATTACCTCTCAACTTTAAAAATGCGGCCTCCAACACGAATTTTTGATAAAACGCTTTATTTTTACTTACGAAACTTATTGTAAAATATTTAGAGCTCAAAACTTTTGGGAAATGCGGAAAATCGTAAAAAATTTCGCTTTTCCGGCAATATATCACTAAACGTATAAAATATCGAATAAAAGCTGTTCAACGTAAAATGTTATATCGCTTTTTGCATTACAATATTCATTTTAATTGATTATTCAATGATTTATAACGAAATTCCCGATCTTGGCATCTTCGGGCGAGCGTGAACGTCATGAGAATGGCTATTTAATGCTATAGTATTCAGTTTTAACCCATTATGCAAGCTGTGGACATGTGGTGAGCGTAGAAGCATAGCTCTACGGGCTTTATGACATGTTGAAAACAAGTGAACGACCATTGAGAACATTTGCGTTTCGTAAAATGTAACAACAAAATTTTTATGCGCAAATCATGAAATGCGCAACGTAGTGAAACTAAAACTGCATCAATTAGGTTTTTTATTATTATTGGTGAATGGTGTATGGTAGATAATAAATGTTCAAAAAAATTTCTGAAAGATTTTCAAAATGAAACTACAATGGATGAAAATGGCTGTCCTCATTATCAAAGGAGAAACAATGATTTTACTTATTAATTACCTAATGGCAATGTGATTGATAACCGATGGGTCATACCGTATTGTCGCAAATTGTTAGAAATGTTTGATTGCTACATAAATGTGGAAATCGTATCAAGTGTGCGAGCTGTTAAATATTTATAATATATTTATAAAGGACACGATGCAGCAACTATAACTATTGGAAATGAAAATTTATACAGCAGTTATATCAGCCGCAATGAGGTTAGTGATTTTTTAGAAACTCGGTATGTAGGATCTGTTGAAGCATGTTATCGAATTTTTAGTAAATCCTTACAAGATAAAAGTTATGCAATTGAATGATTATCAGTTCACTTACCAAATCAACAGTATGTTATAATTTCCAATGATGTTAACTTTGTTGGAAATCTTAATCAAACGAGTAGCAAGTTACTTGACTATTTCAACTTAAATATTGAAAATGAAGTTACGCGACATTATTTATATAGCGATATTCCATCTTTTTTCATTTATAAAAAAGAAAAAATTAACGGTGTCGTGGTAACTAAACGGGTAACACGAAAAACCATTTTAACTGCATTGGATGAATGTTTTTAGTTAGTCCTACACAGCCAGAGCTATTTCACTTACGATTATTATTCCTACATGTAAGAGGAGAGACAATCTTTGATTCTTTGAAAACAGTTAATGGTATATTTATACAACCTTCATTTACAGCAGCTTGCCTAGAATTAGGATTAATAGAAGACGATCAAGAGATGGCTAAAACGACGGAGAAAGCCATAATATTGATGATGCCACGCAGACTGAGCCAATTATTTGTTCGCATTTTAATACATTGCCAACCAATATATATCCTAATGAGTTATGGGATAAATTTGTGGCGAATTCGATGTTCGTTCGGAATGCGAGCACGACGATCGATTGTGAATTGGACTCAAGAACAATATTTTGTTTATTTTCAAGATGTAAAATGATTTTTCACTCTGGAGTCACTTTTCTGACAGTTAATGATTTCGATATTAACCCATTAAGGCCCATGCCAAAACAGCATGAGACAGCGCTAAACTAACTATGCCATTCATAGCATAAGTGAAAAAAAAGTACCCGTGTTTTTTCTTTTACTATTTGCAATTGTTTATAAAAAATTATTTAAACAAATTACCAAAAAAGTTAATATTTTTAAAAACTGATTGCGGTAATCGATTCTACGGGAAAAAATATGACAAAAACGTATATATAAAGTTTTCTGGTCAGACTTAAATTTGACGCTAGGAAATAACTATAAAGTTTATCCATCCGAAAGTTTGATACCGGTGGTTAGTTTAGTGCTGTCTCATGCTGTTTTGGCATGGGCCTTAATGGGTTAATAAAAGTTAATATTGTTAATTGAGTGTCAATCATTAATACGTCAATTCTCCTCGTTGGTGACCCCCTGGCTACAACACAATCAAATAAATTAAAAATAACTTTCAAGTGAGAAAAATGATGTTTCCTCGAGACGACGACAACGATGATGCTAATCTTCGTGCGCAACTCGACCAATTTCAAAATGAAAATGAGCGGCTTGCCTGTGAGCTCACTCAGCAACAAGTTTCAGCGACAGCAACAGTTTCGGTAACAGCAGCAACAGCAACAGCAGAACATCAATGATGATGGAGCTCATGCAATTAACAGCTCGCTTACTCCCACCCCTGTCGTCTTCTCACCGGCAGTTCACCGCGTTGCTGTCAAGTTACCGCCCTTTCGATCATACCGGCCTAGCATGTGGTTCGCGCAGACGGATTCGCAGTTTGTTATCTCCAACATCATAAACGAAGTAACATAATTCCATTATGTTGCTTCACAATTAAAGACTCGCATAGCTGTCGAAGTTGACAATCGTCTATCCTCCCGTCGATAATCCGTATACCTTTTTGCGCACTCAACTTATTGAACGTTTATCTGCCTCTGAAGAACAACGTGTGAGGCACCTGATCAATGAGGAGGAACTCGGCGACCGCAAACCCTCGCAGTTCCTTCGCCATCTTCGCACACTTATCAACACGACGGTCATCCCGGATAACCTATTGCGTCAATTTTGGCTCTAACGCCTTCAGTCTCACTTTCAGGTGATTATCACTGCGCAAATGACTACTCAACCGGCCTTGACACTCAATAATCAGTCTGAAATCGCTGACAAAATCATCGAGGTGTCTCCAGCAACTCCTCTATCCATCCGAGCCACCTTTGCTTCAACCTCTACCAAGCAAGATCCACCAAACCATATAGAAATAATATTACTATGAGTCATCAAATGACATACGCTGAAATAAATAATTTGTTGATTTGTGAAGGTATGAGTTTATCTGACTACCCTTCTATGGATCAAACAGTAGTTAGTCATTTATCCTTAGAAAACAATGATGAATCTTTAGAAACAAACTTTGCAGAAATTGGTAAACGATAATATAACTTATTAAATAAACAATAAAAAGAAATTGTTGATGTTATTTTGGGTAGAGCAACTGATAGTAATTACAATGTTGATAATTGTATATACATTGATGGCTTAAGAGGGTCAGGAAAACTTTTTATCTATACAACTGTTTATAATTTATTGAGTTTAAAAAACATTAAAGTATCTTCAATGGCTTTCACTGGAATTGCAGCTGTATTACTTCCAAAAGGAAAAACGGTGCATAAAACTTTCGGACTTCCTATTCCTATGTATAGTGATTCATCATCAAGTATATTAAAGCACAATCTAAGGAAGGTCTTCTGTTAAAAGAAACAAGTTTTTATTTGGGATGAAGCGCCTATGGCTCCACGGTATGCTTTAGAAATAGTAAACAGGACCCTTCAGAATATTATGAATAATGCTTTACCTTTTGGCGGTAAAGTTATAATTTTTAGGCGGAGATTTTAGACAACTTTTACCTATTAGAATTAATGGAATACGAACTGAAACGTTGAACCTTTTTATTAAATTTTGTGAATTATGGAAACATTTTAACGAATACAAGCTTACCACTAATATGAGAGTCTTACCTAATGAAGTCGATTTTGCAAAATTTTTAGTATTAGTTGGCGATGGAACCCTTAATGATCA